AGCTGAGGATTAGTCCTCATCCCATAGAAATATGGATTGAACATATGCCTTAATCAGTGAAGAATTATGTGATAGTGGGAAATATCACTAGCATAGGTAAATAATAAATCGGTTTATATAAAGGAAGACGTTGCTAGCTCAGTTATATCTCATATCAAAATCTGGTATTCATAATGTATTACATTGATATGATATCAGTTTCACTAGTTGTCAGTTTGTTTCCAACAGTTTAAATTGGCCTTATTCTTTAAAACTCTGAAAAATATAAAGAATTTCTCTACCAACGTGGATTTCTCTAGTGCTGAAGTTCTGCTTCCTGACCTGCCATCAGGATCCATCTGGTAGATAGTGTTTCTCTGGTGTCTACATTACTCATTAGGGCATCTGTACTAATCTTTAAATGGATTTCTTGTTTCAGTTTGCATTTCTGAAGTGTTATAAATATAGAATTATTTGAACAATTTTTAAAAATAGTATGGCCTGCATCAGTTTATACCAATTTCAGGAATGGCTGATAAATTTGCTGTCCAAAAGCAAGAAGAGTTCAGTTTGAGAACCTGATTATTCTAAGTTGCTGAATTACTGCAAGTCACTTTTTGCTGATAGCCTTCCTATCTCTAGAGTGGATGACTTTTGTCATCTAGTTTTCTGCCTATCCTTTACTTCCAAACATAATACAATTTGGGACCAGGAACCATATTCACATTTTGAGCTTGCTAACATTTGTCATATAAACTCCATTTGCACCCTTCTTTCCTTCTGTCTGTATCTTTTGCATGATTACATCATTCATGCAGCATCACTGTGGTTTGCACTGACCACCTGTGGTAAAGAAATTAGTTTTTTTTATTATTAAAAAGTTTTATAAATTTTACAAAAAGAGCAAAACAATACAATAACAAAAAACCACATATACAAAGAGAAAAAAAACTAAACATTACACAACAAAACCCCCCTCCCCCCACCCCCACCCAAACACCCCCCCTTCCCCCCCCTGAGCTTCCCAGAGCAGGATATAGGCTTAATTAAAAAACAGTTAAAAAATTATATTTATAGAAAGAAAGAAAGAAAAAGAAAAAAAATATAACATTAACATATATATGTATATATATAAAAATAAAAATTATGAAAAAGCTATATGATATTTTTTATATCCAATTTAAATTGTATAAATTTTATCCATTTATCCCAAACAGCAAGAAATTTCTCTTGCGTTTGTTCCTTTAAAAAAGCCGAAATCTTTGCCATTTCCGCCAAATAAGACACTTTAAGAAACCATTCCTGCAATGTAGGCAAAGATTCCTTCTTCCAATATTGTCCTACTAACAGCCTCGCGGCTGTAATCAAATTTAACATCAATATAACCTCCTTTGTATCACAATCAGTAACTATACCCAACAAAAATAATTGCGGAGTAAATTTTACCCTCCTTCTAAAAATTCTCTGGATATTCCACCATATCTTAATCCAAAATGCTTTTATCTCTCTACACGACCACCAAATATGATAATAGGTAGCATCCATACAACCACATCTCCAACATTTAGGTTGTAAGTCAGGGTACATAAGAGACATTTTTTGTGGATCAAGGTGCCATCTATAAAACATTTTATAAAAATTCTCCCTAAGGTTCTGTGCTTGTGTAAATTTGACATTTCTCACCCAAATGGTTTCCCAAGTGTCCAATGGAACTGGCTCACCAAAATTCTGCGCTCATCTGATCATACAATCTTTAATTAGTTCCGTTTCTGAATCCAACTCAACTAAAACCCCATAAATCCTCTTAATGTGGGTTTGTCTTTGATCCTTCACTTGCTTAATAAGATTTTCATCTTCTCTAAGAAGACCCACCTTAAAATCCACCTTCCATCTATCTACTAGTTGCCTATATTGGAACCAAGAATAAATAATATTTTCTTGTGCTAACTCTTCCCGTGATTTTAACTGCCAGTTTTGTCCATCCCATCTAAGTAACTGTCTATAAGATACCATATCCATTTTAGCACCTGTAAAGAAATTAGTTTAATAGGTATTTCCTAATTATCAGGGAGAAATGGCTTTTAAAGTGCGTGTTCCACCTCAGAACATCTGTCTGCAATTATTTGCAGATGATACTCAGTGGACACTGGTGTACATAACAGGCAATCAGAGCTCTCTCTGTGGGCACGTGTGCCATTGCCCCAGCCCCGCCTCCCCCTACTGCCCCCTCCTCACCAGCAGCTCCCCCAAAGGAAACTTGCTCCCAGGCGCGGTCCACGCAGAGCAGCGCAGCAAGCACATGGCAGCTGGGCAGCAGGGACAAGACTCTGCCCTTGCGCCCCGTCGCACGCAGATGATGCTGCAGGGCACGGGTGGAGGGCATGACCACTATGGCGCTGCTGGGCCACCTGGGCGATCTGCTGTGGTAGGCCGTGGAGGCGGGTGTGGTCCTGTAGGCGGGTGGGGGCGGTTTTTGGGCACTTGGTTTCTAAGGTTCGCCATCCTTGGTGTATAATGTTATGCCATCTGAAAGTTGTGGTAGGATAGGAGCTCCTAATCACACCAGTCACTTGGGTTTCCAAGGGCAGTGAGGACTCAAGAACTACACTCAAACTATGCTACCTCCTCCATTGCCCCATTTACAATGAAATCAGAGGGAAATTATAGTTGGTAAGTTTCAAGGGCTTGGACAATTGAACTCTCTTCTTGCAGACTTGTTTCTAACTTAGGAATCAAGTTGCTACTCTTGCTCTGCTGTCATTTAAATTTAGAAAGAAATGTTTCAAGTTCTTAATTGTAGTTCTGGCTTTGGGGTCCTGGTGGTAGTAGAGACCAATATGTATCTTCTTGGGAGTTAGTTATGCAGTACTTCAGTTATTTTTATGATTATTTTTAATTGTATTTTTTGATAGTGTTTTATCACATTGTTTTTCTCTCATGTATTGATTGTTGTTGTTGTTAACTGCAAAGTCATGTCCGACCCATCGCGACCCCATGGACAATGTTCCTCCAGGTCTTCCTGTCCTCTACCATCTTCTGGAGTCCATTTAAGTTCACCCCTACTGCTTCAGTGACTCCATCCAGCCATCTCATTCTCTGTCGTCCCCTTCTTCTATTGCCCTCAATCTTTCCCAGCATTAGGCTCTTCTCCAGTGAGTCCTTCCTTCTCATTAGGTGGCCAAAGTATTTGAGTTTCAACTTCAGGATCTGGCCTTCTAAAGAGCAGTCGGGGTTGATCTCTTCTAGGACTGACCGGTTTGAACGCCTTGCAGTCCAAGGGACTCGCAGGAGTCTTCTCCAGCACCTAAATTTTCTAAATATTTATTTATTTTTTTAAAAAAAAAATGGTGACACATAGCTCCAAGGTCCTTAATGGACACCCCAATGATTTTATGTGGTTATTAAATAGCACTGAAGGCAGAACATTGCCTTATGGCGCCCCACATCATACCTTCCAAGATATGGAAACAAGGCTGATAGAAAGTCACTAAGCAGCAGGGAAGCCAATACAGAAGCAGCAATCCCTTCTATTTCCTAGGTACCAACTTCACAGAGTCTCATATCTGGTTATCTGCAGAACAGCATCTCATAAAGCCACAACGGTCTCCTGAATAACAAAAGTAATTCTCCTAGCACTAGGCTAAAACTGATGCCACATGTGAAACCCAAATGGATACATTGCCAAGAGGGGTCACAAACACCCCCAAGTCCGTTCATCAACACAATAATAAATATCAAATCATATTATAGAGCTTAAGTTAGCATGGGGTAAAGCAGAGAGTATCTTCCATACAATCAGGCCAGATAAACCTAAATCTGGACTCAAGGGTCTATTGGATATGATATATATAGTATATTAAAAACTAATATTTGATATGAATACTAGCAATTTTATCATATTGTTTTGCATATTTGTTGCCTAAGGTCTCTGAGGGGTTTAACATTGTTTTTTCTAGGTCAAACAACAATAAATAATAGCCTATAGGCCTTCACAATTTAAGGATTAATATTATAGCTTAGGCTGTGTTCTTGTTTACGTGCAATTGATAGATTGGCTGCCAAATTATGAGTTCAACATAAATTTTATTTGTTATTATTTTATTCTAGAAATTTTAACTAGATACTCTTTGAGTAGTTTTAAATGCACTGATTTTGATTGTAATAATAAATATTTGAAATAAATAACAGTCCTTGCGTGACAATTGCAGAATTGATTCCTTTATTCATTTGTGAGATTTATACCTTACTCAGCAATGGTTGAGAGTCCACTGAAATCTAGACTGCCCATTCACAATTAAATGTGTTAAATTCTATGTCATACTGGCCTCTTATTTTCCAATTAAATATGTAGACCCTCTGTAGTTAGAAGGCCTGAATTTTCTATCCTTGCATTTCTTTACTAATATTTTGCTTTATTGTCATAAAATATAATTAGGTTTTATGTACCAAATCTACCTTTCCTTGTGTATAATTTAAATATTAGGCTTCTGATTTTTTGCATACTTTTTCCATGTCTTTCCATGGGAAGGAAGGAAGGAAGGAACTCCATTTCAGTTACTTGACACAGTGAACATATCACATAATCACATACTTTTAAATTTATGAGGAGAATATATGTACTTCAGTCATTTTCTAATGAACTTTGATCCTTATCAAGTCCCAGAGAAATGTATCTCAGAGTCTGTGATGAGACAGTGTTCAAGCCTTTGCAGGCAAGCAGGCTGATAATGGCTTATATTACTTTTGAAGAATGTGCTCTTTGCAAATGAGTCATTCTGGATTAGTCTCTTCAGATACAACATTTACTATGTCACATTATCTCAGTCGCAGGATCTTTCAGTGGCATCAGTTCGTAAGCTCAGCTTTGAAGTTATCAACTTGTCAAGTGATGAAAAAACTAGTGATATTTGGGTGTACTTCTATTATTACTTCAGCGAGTTTGATATTCATGAAAAAGTTAGGATGTTGTCACATTCCAAGGTCATGTTCATAGAATTCTGCCTAAATATTTTGTCTTCTAGGCAACAGAGAATTTGCTGTAGATGATCTTTTGGAATTCAAATCACATCAATGGTTTGGGGCGTCTGTAAGATCTAAAGAAAATAAAATTTTGGTAAGTCTTCATTTGAAGGCTTGTCACATATTACTACCATCAATGCATAAAGTGAAATATAAAATACAAACCAATAAAAACATTTAGGGAATATTAATGTATGTTTTAAAGGCTAAAACATATGATAATAAAAATGAATCTAGCAGCAAAAAAAAAAACCCCACAACACATTAAATAAAAAAAGAACCACAAAAAAACCCAGTGTCTAATCTAAAAGCAATCATAACATGCTTAAGGGACTAAAGAAATATTCAATTGCTGTGCCAAAATTAATCACTACAATAATCCGAACATAACTTCTGAAAAGGGGAAAAAAAGTTCTTCCTTACAGGTCACTTCATTAGTCAGAGCCATAGATGGCTTTAACATCCAGTAGATAAATATAGCTTTGTTAATTCGGGCCAAAATCAATTAGAGCTACAAGGTTTAAAAGCAACATTTTAAATCGAGTCTGGGGATGGATTGGATTTGTGGACTTCAACTCCCAGAATTCTCCAGTCAGCATGCATAAAGGGTTGGCTTGGTTTGTACTGAAATCTTAGTTCTATGAACTGTTAACTCTAATAAGTCGGCATACTGTCTCTCAGCTTGAATGCCAGAGATCAGCATAATAGCTCATCTACTAATTGGGGATAGCAGATTCAGCAATTTAGCACCCAGTCAGTGGTTTCTTCAATGGTTACTGATTGGTTTCTGAGACCAATTCAAAGTGCTAGTTTTCCCCATTAAAGCATTTCATGGCTTAATGCATCTTCTGAGAGAAGATATGATAAAGGTCTCCATCCCATGTGAGATGAGAAGAATGAGAGCTTGATCATATACCTTCTCTGTAGCTCCTGGGCTCTTTGTAATACCCTCCCCCTTAAGATAAGGAATCTCAAGGAAGGTCTTATATATATAGCTATGTTAGCAACCCAGAGTTGATGTTGCAAGAATGTGTGTGTGTGTGTGTGTGTGTGTGTGTGTGTGTGTGTGTGTACTTTCTTGCAACATCAACTCTGGGTTGCTAACATAGCTTAAAAAGAACAGGGCATTAAAAAATAATAATAAAATATAAAATGGCATAGGGTTGATAAGGTAACCATATCATTGTCTGTAAAAATTTCAGTGATACTTTATGGATAATCTTTGACTTAGAACCACAATTGAGATTGAAATCTCGTGCCATTAAGTGGGATGTCCACATGATTGTCTCACTCAACGATCTCAAGTTCTCCTATACGCAGGGAAGGGAACTCCTGCAGCAGGCTTCAGGAATGGAATTTGGGATTCCCACTTTATTACTCCAGCTGGCACAGGAGTTCCTCTCCCCTCTGTGATCAGAAGTATACACTTATGCGCCGGGCTGGAGAAACAAAATGGGGAATCACAAAGTTCCCTTCTCTGGTTTCTCCAGCCCAGCACATGAGTTTCTCTCCCTTTGTGTACAGAAAGGAACTTGAACAGTAGGATGGAGAAATGAAGTGGGAATCGCAAAGATCCTGGTTTCGTTTCTAGAGTCCAATGAAAGATTTTCATCCCGCTCCCCCCCCTATGCATAAAAGAAGGGAAAATCATTTGACAGGTAGCAGCAGTTTGCAACCTTCCATGCCAGCTTCCTCACTGATTCCAGCAGAGAAGATTGCAAATAGCAATCGTGTTTTACTTTTTCAGGGTATGAATATCAACCATTTATGCAATGCGGAAGAGAGAAAATATATTATTTGGACTATATTGGGAGGTTTCTTCTTATCCCTTGAGATGTACCCAAACTTCTGAATCTGTTTCTTAGAAGGCGCTGCCATTAAACCATGAAGTGTATTTCTCAGTCATACTTTATGGGAACAAACTGCCTTTTAGATACATGGAGATTCTCTCAGCTTTATTGCACATCAGCATAACAATGATATACAAGCTCTTCCCCCTGAATTTTCTTGGCTCATTTGAACACATGCATGAAGCCACAGCTTAACTGAATTGCAAAATACATTACATCAACTCCTCCCACTTCATAGTTTAGCAATGTAGCAAACTCATAGTAGGGCTGATTGCAAATTTAACATGCTTTTTTTTGGTGGTGAGGGGGGGAAGATCTGCATCTTGGTTCTTTTAAAAAGCACATCATGTATCTTATTTGAAAAGCGCATCCAGTATGTACATAGCCATTTGTTCAGAGGCTGCTTGCTGTTCATAACCATTCTTTTCCCTTGATTTTTCTCACGGCCATGTCCCTTTTTAAAGAGCTTTCTGAATACTTCCATCTGCAGGCATGTGCTCCTTTGTACCACTGGAGAACTGAACAGAAAGCGCAGAGGGAACCTGTGGGAACTTGTTATCTTTACGATGGGTCTAAAGCTGTTGAATATGCTCCTTGCAGGTCAAGTATGTAGAGAATGTCTTGTTAAAATTACAGCGCAAATTCTGTTTTCTATGTACCATCATCTTTCATGCATTGTTTGAAGGAATGTGCCTTAAACCCCCATATTTCCCGTATTGTTCCTTCATGACTCGTTACAATCATTTGGGGGAGATCCTTAACAGAGAACACAATTGAGAGAGGGCAAATCTATCTTTTTAGCGTTTTCTCTAGAGTTGGATTTCATAGAAAACACTATGAAGCTCTGAATCTGGAAATAAATGGAAGAGGGTAATGGGAGTATGATTATTTGGATTTGCTTGTTCTGTACCCCCACCACCCCCACCGCAGTCTCTGTGATTTCACAAATCTATATCTAACCACGATGATGCCAAAATGATAAAACTCAGATTGTGACATCAGAACGCAAGCTCTGTCCTTTCATACTTGCCCCTCAAAAAAGGAGTCCTTTTTTTCAACTGAGCAGGAATAAGCTCATCCGTTAGGAGATTTGGGAAAAATAATGCAGCAAATTCAAATTATGTATGAACTGGAGTGCATGTGGCCCATTCTGACTAGGATTCAAAAGAAGTCAGTGAACCATTTTGGAGTTGGCTGGACATCTGTTTAAAGGATAAAACTAAAAGAAAGGCCAAGATCCAGTGAGCAAACAAATGAAAAGATTGTTTTGTGAAGCTTTATAGTCAGAGGATTAACCATGTCATAAAGAGCTTTTTGGACTCTTTCCTAGCCTTCAAGAGGAATGCCTTTTCCTTCTTTAAATGCAAACTGTATTTCTTTGCTATTTCTGGCCATAACTGCATTGTAAATATAGAAGAAAAGAGCAATTTGTCATTCGAGAGAATGTTTATCTTTCACATTTTTATTTTGAAACAGGCAGTATTTTAAGCCAATGGTGTTTGTAATAACTCAGAACAAACCCTTTTTTCATTAGTTCAGTATGACTGTAGATCATACCTGCACAATATAGGATTGACAAAGCCCTATGAAATCCTCTCAACTGATGTCAGAAGGATGGTGGCTAACAATTGTGCTTTCAGTGCCTGAGTTCACCCTCAGAAATGTGGCAGAACAGAATACATGGATGGCTGTGCTTCTCCTAGCAGGTTGCCAACTATGTGGTTTTATTGGAGCTGTAGGAAGTACAAGGTTACTTGTCCCTGAAATGCATTCTCAAAAGCAGCTGGTGAGCTGATCCCCTTGTTACTGGCCTACATCACCTTAAAATGTAAGTGAGGACTGAATACTCCCTCTTATCATCTTCTTCTCCCCCCAAGAAGTCCTTGTGGACTAAAAAATAGGGAGGAGGTAAGAATGAATTATGGGCTCCCCACAGTGATGTGGGGAAATGGAATTGAACAACAAAAACGTTTCTAAGAAGGTAGAGTAAGAAGACCTTAGCACCCTTTAACATGAGTCTATCCAGAAAAGTTACAGCCTCCAAAGATATTTCCTATAAGAACTGAGTTTTCCTACGAGTGTTATTTTGAAAAAAAGGAAAGGATTAGGATTAGCGCTGTCCCTCTGTTCCTCTCCTCTTCTGAAGATTTTGAGATTCCATAAGAGATCCAGGTTGCAGAACACTGATTATTCATTCCATATTTTATTCATTCAAGCCATTCTTCCCAGAAATAAAGTTGGTGGGTTTTTTTGCCTTTTCCTTGCCCTCAAAGCAGCTCTCCTAGACTCCTCAGTTTGCACCCTAGCTTTTCTTACGTCGCGTAGAAATTTTGTATTACACAACTTTACAATCATTTCCATTCTTTCTTATTGCCATAGCAAGCACTGATGCTGAAGGACAGGGCTTTTGTCAAGGTGGATTCAGCATTGATTTTACTCAGGTATGGAAGTTATTTCTACATGTTTCCTTCAATCTCAGAACTCCACAGTAGAGGGCAAAGTATCTGTAAAACCCAGCCCTGGGCAGGGAAATCTACCAGAGGAACTCTACAAGCCACAGTTTATTATTTCATTCCTATGACCTTAAATACATACTTTGGTAAAGTTGCTGTGAACCATTGGCATCCTCAGGAGATGTGGGAGGGTTTGGATTAAAAAAGGCAAAATGGGCTTGTGACCATGCCATCAAAGCCCCTCCCTTTTTCCACCTGTATTGATACTGCATGCATGTGTAAAAGGGGGGAGAGTTTGATGGCACGACCATGCTCCTATCTTGTCTTTTTTGATGAAATTGTTTATTTTGTCCAGGATTGCATGGGAGGAAATCAGCAAAGAAAATAAATGGCTAAAAAGAGAAATGATGTTAAACCATTACTGGATCTTGTTCCTTTACACTTAGATGAGAACTTGGTTTAAAAAAATTCTCTTTGCTTTCATATTTTAAGCCATCTTCAGTTATTTTATTTTTGAAATTTTAATTTAAACTGCTGTGATACGTAAGAGATATTTACATATACAGGGAGACAGTGTGCATATATTCTTCCATATGTACACACATTTGTCATTATAGTAACAGAAAATGTGTCCATCATAGACAGAAGCAGTGAATTTCAATGACCTAATACTGGAAAAAAAAGAGAAGAAGGAAGAATAGGATGTCATTTCTGTAAGCTCAGCTTGCCCTGTCCAAGGCAAAGAACTGCATTTGATATGCACAGAAAATCTATATCCTCCTTTGTAGTAAATGCATTAATTGAGGAATTGGGATTGTTAAGTAAACAATTGGCACGGTTGGGATATGTTTCCTACAAATTTAGAATTATATGAATGAGCCTTAGTGTTACCTTGGCTCATGTTCACTTCTTGTTTCTAACAGCGAGGAGCCCTTGAAAGATTTTTGCTTGCGTGCATCTGTGACTAATCTTAACTATGTGTTAGCCTGGAACACGCAAGGTTTATTCAAGTCATAGCTTATTTAATCGCAGCATCCAAATAAAACTAAAACGTTCAAACCAGAAATTAAATTTCGTAAAAGTGTGGCCTGATAAAACAAACTAGCATCTGGAACCAATGTGATCTTGACTTTTTTGATTAAACTTTACCATCCTCAAGGATAGGCATCCATAGAGGCTTGCTGCTTTTACCAAAATGATGAAAGCAATGTTACGCCACAAGTTCCATTCGTTTCAAATGTGTGTGCAACATCATGACATATGTACGAAAGGAGCAGCCTTTGCATTGTTTTTCTCTTTCTGCCTACTTTCACCGTTCTCCATGCCACAGCTGCCACTGACAATCGTTGGTGTAAACCTAGAAGTTGATGCTTCCAGTCTTTTTCATCTCCTAATTATTTCCTGGTAGAGCAGTGGTTCTCAACCTTTCTAATGCCGCGACCCCATAATACAGTTCCCCATGTTGTGGTGACCCCAACCACTTATATATCACCGGGCGTGGCCAAAGAAAAGGGGAAAAAATGGTGGACAGCCTTGTTTGGCGACCCCCGTGAAATGGTCGTTCGACCCCAAATGGGGTCCCGACCCACAGGTTGAGAACCACTGTGGTAGAGAATAGAAAAGGCAGGGCACTCACTTCTGGGCTTCAGCAAACTCATGTTCACACCCCTAAATTATGGCTTAGCTTTGCAACTAATGCACACCATTAGTGTCTTAAACCATTCTGTATGGTGGGTGAGAATTATTTTTGAGAAGATTGAGAAGGGAAAAATACATTTGCCTAACAGTGTCTATTCAATCAATGGGTAGCAATGAGATTTAAATGAGATGTGTTATGCAACATTTCCTAGATTTTTTTTTTGAATAATCACAGAACATTACAGAAATGTGAAACAAGGAAGTTGAAATACCACAAAATATGAATACACTTAACAATACAATGGGAAATAAAAACCAAAGTACTAGTATTAGATTGGCCAGAATTCTCTGTGAAGGGGATTATATGAAGTTCAAGTCATGTCTGAAAAAGCAAAAAAAAATTATCTTTGATCAGACAAAGTGAAGCAATCTTCAGTCATTGAATGTTGTAACAATTTCAGCTTAGCCTAGGTACTTATTTTTAGATATTACATTACAATAAAGGAACCTCTTTTTCTTTCTGTCTTTCCTCTCTAGAAAGACAGAGTTCTACTTGGAGGACCTGGAAGTTTTTATTGGCAAGGTAAAACATGGGATTTGGTGAATAAAATGACAGTTAAACTAAATTGTTTACTTTTGGCCTTATATAAAACAAAAATGATTTTTTTTTATTCCACAGAAAAAGTTACTGCAAGTTCAAAGTAGCTGAAATAGAGATGTTATGAGCATGTTTAGTCTTTTTCCTATTGATCTTTCTCTGCTGTTTTTCTCCTGTGAGGTGCCTAGTCCTCATAAGGCTATAAACTGCTGGAGAAGGGAAAATGCATTAACTTTAGTGGATTCCTTGTTGTAAAGCAGAAATATCTTTTTGAGGCACCTGAATATTACAGAAATCCCAATATAAAATAACATTCCCTGGTGACAGGCAGTGGCCTAAACATATGATATGTAAGCAGTGATTATATTATTTACACATTCCTGAAATAGCTCAATTTTTCAAATAGTAATGACCATTTACATTTAAATCAAATTATATGGCTACACTATCTGGGCTACCAGACTTCAAATAGTTATCAGGAGACAGCAAACTCTTTATTTCCATTACATTGTTATCTGTTTTTTTCAATCCAGAGATCCCCCCCCCATAGTTAACTATTAAACTAAGCTGTTGCTCTGCTCAAAATTTGAAAATGACTTTTCTGGGTAGGAGAAGTTGTAGAGATTCAGTTATGCACATATGCATGTTAGGCTTTGATCCTGATGCTTCTGGTAAATTAAAATCCTGGGTACAAAAGCAGCAATGAATATGATCTGTCTTTATTGCTGTTTTTCTACCACAGAATACTTTTGTGGAGATTAATTAGAGTAAGTTTTTCATGCTAATTGCTATCAAGTTGTAGGTTTATCCAGAATCTTCAGCTTAGGAATTAAATATAAGTGCATTTGCTGAATTTTGAGCTACTCAACAAGGTACCTAAATAATGATACAGGTCACTCTGTTAAATCTATACTAATAAACTATCTAAGAACTTCTGTTAAGGACTTACAGGTCATAACTTAATTGTCACATAGGATCATGCTATCTTTATCCCCTTTTGTCTGGCCAAAGATATGCTTGGTTAAATTCTTTACTGAAGTGAACCAAAATATTGTTATTTTATTTCCAGACTTAGTTTGGCTTTCCTCTGTAGTCCTATTCACAATTACCTAGTACAGTGATGGCGAACCTTTTAGACATTGAGTGCCCCAAAAATGCCCTGCCCCCGCTTGCTCTGCCCCCTGCCCCACCCGCATGCAGGGCCACCTACCACTTCCACGACCCGCTGCAGATCACTCAGGTGGCCCTGCAGCACCATGGCAGCCAAGCCCTCTACCCGCACCCCGCAGCATCATCTGTGATGAGGTGCGAGGGTGGAGTCTTGTCCCTGCTGCCCATTTGCCTTGTCCTTGGCCGCGCTGCTCCGTGTGGGCCACGGCAGAGGCAACTTTCCTCTGGGGAGGCTGCTGGTGAGGAGGGGGCTGTGGGGGAAGGCGGGGCTGGGGCAACAGTGCACATGCCCACAGAAAGGGCTCTGAGTGCCGCTTCTGGCACCCGTGCCATAGGTTCGCCACCACTGACCTAGTAACAAGCCTGAATCGGATTAGTTTCTAAGCTGATATTATAGAATTGCATTTTATAATAAGACAATAAATATCTGCTCAGAACTGTATTATTTCAAGGTATTCCCTTTTGCTTTTCTCCAGGCCAGCTAATCTCTGATCAAGTGGCTGAGATTGTGTCAAAATACAGCGCTACAGTCTACACAACCAAATACGATCACCAGTTAGCAACACGTTCAGCTAGTGCTACTTTTGATGACAGTTATTTGGGTGGGTACTTGACTCTGAAACAGGGAATATTTTAAATTTCGCTGGGATGAAGCTTCCCAATGAGATCAGTGAAAGTATATTTGCTTTTTATGTTTCTGAAAGAAGAACCATCCTAAATATAGCCAAATTAAAAAAAATATGACTGGCACATATTTACTGGAGAGTTTTCACTTGCCTTCTTCAAGTAATTATTTAAAGAATGCAGTCTGTACTTAAGCTGTATTGGATAGAGAATTCTAATTCTGCAACTGTATATTCAGTTTTTTCCAATTTTGAAAGAGAAATAGCACCCCCTATTAGTCAACAGGGAGAATGATTTCAGCAACTCCATGAACAGGTTTATTTAAAAATAGATGTCTAAAAATGTTTTTGGGTGCATCTCATATTAAGAGTATCTCCATGCATTATTGAAATATTAATTCTTGAATTCTCATTTTCATGCTTGATAGGTTATTCAGTTGCCGTAGGGGATTTCAACGGTGATGGCGTAGAAGGTATGTCTTGTTCATGTTTGCATAAAATGTCCAGAAACTAATGAATTTTGAATACAGGGAAAAGATTTGAGGAAGTTCTAGGAAATAAATCATCCAGATGACCTGTTGAAATCTGTATTAACTTTTGCATGTCTGAGTCTATTTATTTCAGCTATTGTATCTTTCCTTGAGGCTATGAAAGAATAAAGATCAGAGAAAATTCTTTCTGCTTTCATTGCAGGTGTAGTAAGAGGTTTATGAGCCACATTAGACATTGTGAAAATAGAAGACTGTTGTTGACTTGTTAGTGTCATTTCAATATATTCTGTCTCTCAGAAGTGATGGCAAAATGTAACCTCACAATGTAATACCTGTTTTTTTTCCTGTGTTTTCATTACAACAACACATGCAAATACATGAGGGACAGAATTTATGTTGCAGTGAAAACAAATGTTTTATCATTCCCCTCTCTCTTTTCTCCATGGATGCCTATAGTCTTGATGCACATACTTTTAAGAGCTGTGGTGGTGCAGTGGTTAGAATGCAGTATTGCAGACTAACTGCTGACTGCCAGCAATTTGATCCTGTTCAGCTCAAGATTGACTCAGCCTTCCATCCTTCTGAGGTTGGTAAAATGAGGACCCAGATTGTTGGGGGCCATAGGCTGATTCTGTAAACTGCTTAGAGAGGGCTGTAAAGCACTATGAAGCGGTATATAAGTCTAAGCGCTATTCTTTTGTTATTAAGGAGGCATAATTGGTGCTTACCTTTGAAAGATTCTCTGGAGCCCTGAAGGAGCATGATGTCAATATAGGATAATTTCCTTCATGATATAATTCTGCAATTCAACTTTGTTTGAGCAAAATGGAATCAAGTCACTCCAAAAAGGTAGTTATATACAGTGGTGGGATTCAAATATGTGAACAACCGGTTTTCTGTGTGGATGCCACTTCTGGAAATCGATTCTGGACCTGGACAACCAAAAATTAGCTACCGATTCTGCCAAACTGGTGTGAACTGGCTGAGTCCCACCACTGGTTGTATACTTGGGTGAATTGGAATGAATAGGACCTGCGGAAATGTGCAGCCAACCCTGTTCTTCCATCTGTGGAATGGGTGTCATGGGTGAAGTGGACTCACAGTCTCTCTCCCATTTCATACATCTCTAAAAGACTCCAAATTCCTGTTGAAGATTGGGAACGTTCCAGAAGAAAAAAGACTAGGCCCAGGGGTGAAAAAGAAATAGCGTAACTATCCAGAAATGACCTATGCCACTGGTGCAAATCCTCTGGAAAAAAATTAGAGGAAAAGGAGACAGCATTTTTAAAAGGAATTCCTGTGTAAAGAGAATTAGCTATGCATATTCTTGTTCCCCCAGTCTTGCAAGAATTCTCCCAGTCTTATTACCATTACTTACTGTCAATATATCATATCTTTTGTCTTTATTGTTTTGTAATATCTTTGCCAACCTGTAAGTACTTAATTAATCTGTTCATTCTAGTTAAAATAGTCCTCTTATTGCTAATGAACAGACAGACAGTTTGGTGTAGTGGTTAGGACACCAACTAGAAACCAGGAGACTGTGAGTTCTAGCCCCACCTTAGGCACAAAGCCAGCTTGGGCCAGTCACTCCCTCTCCGCCCTAGGAAGGAGGCAAACCAATTTTGAAACCCTTGCCAAAAAAACTGCAGGGACTTGGTCAGGCATACTCTGAGATATGATTGAACAGAGGGGGAAAAAACTAATGGATAAAATTAATAAGATAAACCTTTGTGAAACTAAGAATAGCATTGTGAACTACATGGGAAAACTTTCTGAAGGCCATTGATTCTATCTGCACAGGTGATGGAAAATTCTTTTTCTGTTTTCAGATTTTGTGTCGGGTGTCCCAAGAGCAGCAAAAACTTTGGGCATGGTAAGGAAAACAAGCTAGTGTTAAATAATTAATTTATTCTTTTTAGCAACCATTCAAATATGCAATGGTATAGAATTTTATTTATATATATTGTGCAGGTATCCATTTACAATGGGAAAAGCATGGCATCCATGTATAACTTCACTGGAGAACAGGTATGGCTTGGTTTCTATAAGAGGAAAATATTTGTATGTTTATGTCTTTTTTTTTTAACCAGGGTAGGAATGTTGGTCGTATAATATACAAAATAAGTGAGGAAACAATAGGAAAGAAAAGTATTTAAGAAAGAAAATGTGGTCATAAGTCAGCTGTAATAATCAAATTCAAACATCGTGGCTACTGTGTATCGCAATTTTGAGAAAAGGTGTTCTTTCTGGTGATTTTGGCTAAGCTGATGGAAGATGCCTTCCCAGTTTAATGTTCCCTTTGATTCTAGCAAGTGGAATAACCGACAGAAGAAGAGCCAATTATTAAGAAGAGCCTAAACAGGCCAATGGCAACCCCCCCTTTTTTTCATTTCTTACAAATTTAAAGCATATGGCATCTGATGTAATCACCTGTTCACTGCTAGATTTAAAATATCCACATCTGATATCCCTTGGAGATAGCTGATTAGATTGTTCTTCCCGCAAAAGAGAACCCAGTGTCTTCTAAAGCAGTCTGTTCCATGGTTGGCAATTTCTTACGTCTGAATTTTATCTTAAAGCTTAGTCAAAATCTGCAGCTTTCCAATTTCAAGCCTGTTCTGATCCTCCTCATATATCTATGAAGAGGATACGTCCTTTGCTCTTTGAAGACAGCCATCCTGTCTCCACAATCTATTCTTCCCCAGGCTCTTAGGGGTTTTTAACTGTGGAGCCTTATGTTCTGGGGAGTTGAGAACAAATGCTGCAGGAAGGAGAGAATAGGATATAAATTCAAAGATGGATCTTTGTCAGATGCTCCATCTAGTCAAAGTGATAACAAAGTCAAGATTTTCTATAGGTTGCTGCTATAAAGAGAATGGCCCGTCCAAATTAAACGTGGAACAAGAAATAAGAGTGGTGGTCTCAGAAATAAAACTCAGACTTTGGGAATTACAAGTTCATTCTCCCCATTAGAAGTATGGCTTTAAATTTTATTTACATTAAAAATTAATTATTGAAACAATACCGTATGTCTTATCTACCTCTAACCTCCGTTAAGTTGTTATCCAAGGGAAGGATGGAATCACAACCATTCATTTATCTTTTTAGGAGGTCCCACAAAGTTGAAAAACTCTGCTTGAAGGCATCCATGTTGAACTTCAGTCCCAATGGAGCAGCCTTACTATTTATAAATATTTCTTATACCTCTTAAAATTGAAATTCTATGAGTAGTTATGTGGGTGGAGAATATCCAGTGATGTGCTTCTCTTCACATTACTATTAATAAAATAAAAAGAATAAAATGAGATCTGTGTGCTTTCTATAACAACGGAAAAAATTCTAACAAATACGCAGAAATAACTAGGGAAAAAAGGATATACTTCTAGACTTTGAAATATGCATGGCAAGAAAGCTTTTAGCAGATGTAAAATACCTCTCTAACTCCTAGTTATTTCTGTTTAATGCAGCATTTCTTTTGTTCAACTTTGTTACCCAGATAGCTGCTTATTTTGGATATTCTGTAGCTGCCACAGATATCAATGGAGATCAGTAAGTTATGCTTTTGTTTCATACTTCTTGAAAAGGAAAAAAAAATCTGGTTTTCTAAAATCTTGCCTAAGGTAAAAATAAAATGTTTGAAAGAAAAATGGAAACCTGTTAGCATGCATATTTAACTCTCTTCCCCTCCCACTTTTGGGAGTTTCTTCTGTTAAGATTGCTTGATATAGTTCTCCAAACATTTCACAAACACCATATATAATCACAGATAAGCTTGTCCACAGATAAGCCAATCCTCAAAATTTCAGCCAAAATACCATGAAAAATGCATCATCTGTGAATAAGCCGACACTTGAATTTTTAACTGCAACGATAAATGGAAAAACTGCAATGTCTTACATTGTTATTTGTACATATCACATGATTTTAAGCCCATGATAAATAGATCCCAATTTTTTGGGTGGTATTTTGGAGCCTAACATTCTCGGCTTATTCATGAGTATATGCAGTATATTATCTTTTGAATCTTCCCTGGTAGAGCTTCAAATCCTGTGAGGGCAGAAATCATTCTTTTTGATTGTATGTCCAGCCTTAATCTTCTCTCATCAGCCTTTTCAGGTGGTCCTCATTTAGCAACTGCCTCATTTGGTGATCGTTCTTAGTTATGACAGTGACGAAAAAGTAACTTTATAATCAACCCTTACATTTACGACCTTCGCCGGTTTGCCAAGCAAAGGAAAACTGAAGAAAGATCTTAAGCATAGTCACCGTTTCACTTAGCAACCGCTTATCAACCAAGTTGCTGATCCCAGTTGTGGTAGCTAAACGAAGATGACCTGTACTTCTATCCAGCACTACACTTTTCTCTAGTTCTCCTAGTCGTCAACTTCCTTTCTTCCCTTTTTTCTTTCCCCACTCACTCCTGGCTGCTGCATTTTATGACTAAACAATATCTATGGGTGGGTTTTGTTGTGTTTTTTTGCGTAATGAATTATACTCCCAATATAATTACATGCAATCCTAAGCACGTTAAGCCTCTAGTCAGCCTGTTATGATTGTAACCTTGTTTATTTTATAATTCTTTAGGCTGCAAGAGATAGAACCTGGGATTCAATTCCAGTCATACCCAGCTGCTTGTATTCTTGGGCTATTCATTCTCTCCTCCTTCTCCCCATCGCTGTATACTCCATGAAGCATAATAATGGGCTACAATGATGTACATAACAGAGGCAATCTTTGTGTTGAATGAACATTTTTCTCTCCGTTTCTCTCTGCCTCTGCCCCCAACTTTAGCTATGCAGATGTGCTTGTAGGTGCCCCACTCTTTATGGATCGTGGTTCAGATGGCAAGCTTCTGGAAGTGGGCCAGGTGTCTCTTTACCTCCAACAAGCCTCTGGAGGGTTTCAAAGTTCAGCCATAAAGTTGAATGGCTTTGAAGTCTTTGCAAGATTCAGCAGTTCAATTGCCCCTTTGGGAGACCTTGACCAGGATGGCTTCAATGGTAATGCATTCAGGCATTGTCGTCGTCGTTACTGTTGTGTTGATATAAACTTTTTCGCACTGTAGGGATTTTAAACTTTTTAGTTATAACTTGATTAAACCCTGCGGTTTGGTTCAAAATGGGGTTTTGTTTGTTTGTTATTTTAATGCTTTGATAGGCCTTGCTCTAATCTAGCAAGCAAATGTTGTTTGAGTTAATGTATCTTTTTAAAATATGAAGCTTTGAAAAAGTACTGCACAAATAAAGAATAACACATTGCATTTACTTTAACTGCGGAATGACCTCTACTTCTGTATCAAGTACTACCTTACGTAACGTTATCTCTAATTAATAGGATTAGTGCTAAATTCCTTTACACTTTGAATTTGAAAATATATCTTTAAACTGGATAGTTCTCAACTTATAACGACAAGTGGGACTAGAAGGTCTGTTGCTAAGCAATGTGGTTGTAAAGCGTGACAACATTGCTTAGTGACGGCAATCTCTGCATTCCTTCCTTGCTGTAGTTAACCAACTCCCACAGTTGTTAGGCAAGGCAACTTCCTGCCAGCTTCCCACAGATAAAGTCAATGGAGAAGCTGGCTGGAAGTTCAAGAGCTAGGCTCCCAGGCAGGTAAGTGACTGCTGCCAGCTGGGAGAGGGAGCGAGGGGGTGTGCAGGTTGGGGAGGGTGCAAGGGGTGTATGAGAGGTACAGGTCAGGGAGAGTGTGATGGAGTGTGTGAAGGGATGAGGGGATGCTTGAGGATGCGAGGGAGACAGGGCAAGGTCAGAAAGGGCGTGTGCACGAGCGTAAGAGGGGCTTGGAGAGGAGACTTACTTTAGCAACTTGCAACCTTTCCCGCCATCTTCCCCATTGATTTTCTGGAGAAACCGGCAGGGAAGGTCACAAATGCAGTCATGTGATTATGGGACAAGGCAACTGATTGTAAGTCTGAACAGATTGCCAAATGCCCCAGTTGCAATCACATGACTGTGGAGGTGCTGGGACAGCTGGAACTCGGGAGCAGCACCATTGTAACTTCAAGCAGTCACTGAACAAGTGAGCATAAGTCAAGGACTACCGTTACACTACTAATTTGAAAATATATCTATCAGATTGAATTGGCTGTAATCCATGCTTAAAAGAAAACCCACTGTTCTTGCTGACTTAAATGGTTTATGGCAGGACCGCTTGAAATGTAGATTGGCTTAGTCTAAATTAATCCATGGACCTTCATTCCATAGCCCCTGTACTTGTTCATATTTAGAGATGCTAGACATTTTTCACTTTGCTTGCAGACATAGCAGTTGCAGCACCTTATGGTGGAGAAGACAAGAAAGGATTGGTTTATATCTACAATGGGAGAGCCACAGGATTGAATGGAATGCCATCTCAGGTCCTTGAAGGACAATGGGCCTCTGAAGCAATGCCACCAAGTTTTGGATATGCCTTGAAAGGAGCCATTGATGTAGACAAAAATGGCTACCCAGGTGATTTTTCTATAGCGATAATGCCTTATGTTTAGTAGATTGCAAATATATTAGCATTTGTGCAATGGATCTTTCTCTCTTTCTATTCCCAACTCACCCCCTTGTACCCCCCCAAATCTTTTCTAGAATGTTCTCTGCTATGTAGAAGAAGGCTGAAGAATGTATAGACTCTATTTTGCATTCCATTGTAGATAGTGGACACAACTGAATATAATACAATGCAAGATTGTATGATTACAGTAGTATTTAATCCAGGGAAAGCCCTATTTTATTTTATTTAGTTCTAAAATATTAATAATCATGGTGATAAGTTTTCAACTGTAGACAAATATCCAATCTAAAAATCTGCATATGTTTTTTCTGCTTCCAGATTTGATTGTAGGAGCTTTTGGTGTTGACCGAGTTGCTTTATACAGGTAAGTTTTCAGAAGAATATTAGTAGAGAAGTCCAGTTCTTGTAAGCAACTAGAAAAGAAAAAAAAATAGCTCTTATTAAATGGCAGGCATGCTTTAAACTAATCAAGGAGAGAAGCAACCTAGAACTAAGGAGAAACTTCCTGACAGTTAGAACAATTAACCAGTGGAACAACCTGCCTCCAGAAGTGGTGAATGTTCCAACACTGGAAGTTTTTAAGAAGAGACTGGACAGCCATTTGTCCGAAATGGTATAGGGTTTCCTGCCTGAACAGGGGGTTGGTCCCTTCCAACTTTATTATTATTATAAACCAGACCTTAGTCACAACCACTTGTCTCTGCAATTACTTAGCAATCTTTATTGAGGAACATGCTGTCTCTGATTTAGAAGCCATTGTGACTTGAAAATTTATTTGTCATGAATTTGATTCTTTTTCTTTAAAGCCATCCAAGTTGCTAGCTATTCCTGTATCTTATTGGATTAAATTCACCAATTCTGACTATGTGCTGGGAGGAAAATATTAAAAATACTAATTTCCCTGGTATTTCTCTCCATTCAACTTTATTAGCTGATTTTAAGTCCCTGTACTATGAAAACAGGAGAAAATGTCTCTTCATTCTCTTTGTCTGTTCCACACATAATTTTCTACAGCTTTGTGGATACCTAAGCCAAAAAAAGCCCCCAATTCTCATAGCAGAGTTGTCCAAATCCCTTGATTAGGTTGGTGACTATTTCTATTTAAAATTGTTGTCCAAAATATTTTCCCGCTCGCTGTTTTCTACTTCCTTCTTCAAATCCTTTGTATATACAGCTTCACCTTTTACTGTCTAGCGATTTATGCAGATGCTCCTTTCTAGTTTTCCTTTGTTTCTTTTCAAAGAGCCCGGCCAGTCATTACTGTGAACACTGGATTAGAAGTTACCCCAACAATTTTAAATCCAGAGAAAAAAATCTGTGAAGAAAATGGTCAAAAGGTTTCTTGGTAAGTTCAATAGATTCCCCATTAAGTGTTTGCAATTAACATTGTAAGTCAAAGTAAGGAACCAGGAACATGTGTAGCTGTTGAAAGTGAATAATGCAAGGGCGAGTGTCTTTCCTTTCACCGTGCTTCCTAGTCTTATCGCAGGATTTAAATGCATGATTTTCATTGCAGAAGGTTGCTTCCTTATATTTGATTCTCAGTTTCCTTTCTTCGAAAGCAGTGGACTATGTCGAAATCCTTCTTCATGTTTATAACACTGTAAAAGGCTGTTCCAAATGGGAAAGGAATTAGATTCATTGTATAGGATGTAAAGCCCCATTTGAGTTGTGCTGAATTCCATGAATCTGAATTCTAAGCTTTTTCTTGAATGGTTAAGAACAAAACTGAAGGCTAACTCAACTCAGAAAAGTAATTCACTGTTGAATGGTGTAAATTTGCCCATGCCTTTGTTTAATCATTCCATCCCCAATCTTTCAATGAGACTTACAACTATGTGAAAAGTTTCTTGAGCTTCGTCTTTCAGTCTCAAATATACAGCACATCTTAGACTCCTCAAAGTTGATTGAAATTAAGCATCTAAAATTGCTCTGTACATATGGAACTGATCAGTTAATCTAGTAATAACATACATTTAATAATTGCAAATTGAAGAAGTGGTAAAGGCTTATTTTAAAACTAAATTTAATGACTCTTGGGATCAAGAATCTTGCACTGGACTTGGATCCTAGTCCCAGTTCTGAAACTTTGGCCTGAGAGCACATGAGAATGCATACTCTTTCAATATTCATAGGTTTACATCTTGCACTTGGCCTGTCTCATCTCAAAAAAAAAAATTATTGTCTTTTAATTATTCTTTAATTCTCTCAATAGTTTTAAAGTAAAGTTCTGCTTAAAAGCTGACGGCAAAGGGAATCTGCCCACGGAACTCAGTAAGTTCTGTAGATTTGTTTTACTGCACATGTAAAATAATAGCTTAACATACTGCACTTGTGTGTTCATACTATAAATTGACAGTCCTTAAACTTTGGGAGCTAGTCCAAGCTCCACCAGTGTAAGACATAAACAAAGCTGCTCTGTACTACCTAGAACAGTGATGGCGAACCTTTTAGAGACTGAGTGCCCAAACTGTAACCCAAAACCCACTTATGCATTGTCGGGTGCCGGGTGGGTGTGGCCCATTGGCTGGGTGTGGCCAATTAGGTGGGTGTGGCCCATTGGCTGGGTGTGGCTGCGGTGGTAACGGCAGACTGGGTGGGACTAAAAAGTTCAATCAATCAATTCCAACTTTGCAAGATCTTTTTTTTCCCTGCGAGAAGTTGAAATTGACTGATTGAACCTTTTTTTTTTTTTTTTTTTTGCACGCAGCTGTGGAGGCCTAAAGCGAAAAGGTTTTATGAAACCCAGTTGAAGGCCTAGGACTGGGGCGACAGTGTGCGTGCCCACAGAGAGGGCTCTGCGTGCCACCTCTGGCACCCGTGCCATAGGTTCGCCACCACTGACCTAGAATGTGGCTGATGGGTTTGTGCTGATTGCTGACCAGAAACAGATTTACTTTAGAAGCAGCTTGAGCTTTCTGGCAGACAACATCCATCTGGCCTCTGATATTGAAAGCTCAGGATTAATTATTTATCAGACCGTGAACATAAGGATTGAGGGCACACAAAATAGCTCAGTGCCCTGGTCATCCAGTTGCTGCAAATATCTGCCAAGATGAGAATGTGAATACATTTGCATATGAAGTTCATGATAGAACATAGTTCTTAAACTTACAGGTAACATAGGGTCCTCTAGCACATTTTCAGAGCTGAATCCATCCCACCTTTATATATCATACAAAATATAGCGTATATAGCCAAAACATATAAAGAACAGTTGCTGGAATTGGGTATGTCTAATAAAAAGAAGGACTCAGGGTGACATGATAGCAATCTTCCATTATCTGAAGGGCTGTCACAAGGAAGAGGGGCAAAGCACTTGAAGGCAGGACAAGAAGCAATGGATGGAAACTAATCAAGAAGAGAAGCAACCTAGAACTAAGGAGAAATTTCCCAACCGTTAGAACAATCAATCAGTGGAACTAATCCAGAAGTTTTGGGTGCTCCAACATTTGAAGTTTTTAAGAAGAGATTGGACAATCATTTGTCTGAAATGGTTTAGGTCTTCCTGCCTGAGCAGGAGGTTGGACTAGAAGACCTCCAGGACCTCTTCCAATTCTGTCATCCTGTTATTATTTTACAGCACGTGTTTGTTTGTTTACTCAGAGAGGCTCATTCTTAGTCTTTCCATCCAAGGAAGCTTGAGGGCTTTCCGTGGGAAGGGTTGGGCAAGCAGGTACTGCCCCATTTCTTCCTGAATCAACTTTTATGAGCCCAGCTAGGATATGTCACTAGGACAGAGTAGGTGAGGAAGAACCTGGGGGGTCAGGCATGGTGCCAAATTCAACAACTGTCAACTCAAATAGCCTCTTTGAGGCTGCCATCCTCATAATGTTGCTTAATTGCTACACCTACCATCTCTTATCTTTAGCTGGAACTGCTACGGATGGTGGAAAGTATGATTCAGCATCTTCTGTCGGGCTATATATATAATAGAGTAATGATTAAAAATAAGTAGCATTTGTATAAATGAATGAAAAGTCTGTTGCAGCCTTTAGGCTAATGAACTAGTCCACATGGGCTCCTCATAATAATTTGAGACCTCTGCACTAGAGTATACGCCTCCTATTTCACTTTGAGAACAAAGCATCAAAGTAGGCGTCTAAAAAAGTCCTCTAAGATATCTAATATAAAGGGCAAGAGCAGTTGCCCACATATTTGCATTCTGCAACCCTTGTTACCTCCTATTATGAATGGTGTTGGATCTCCCTGGAATGCTTCTCAGTGACAGCCTTTCTAACTTCTGAGAAAAACACCTTACCAATGGTTGCTGCAGGGAACACACAAATCTAAAGGCTGTGTTACTAAAATGTTTTTGTGTTTGGTGATAGCTTTCCATGTGGAGCTCCTGTTGGACAAACTTAAACAAAAAGGTGCCATAAGGCGAGCTCTGTTTCTCCACAACAGACAACCTGGTCACTCAAAGAACATGACAGTCTCCAAAGGAGGTCGAAAGAGTTGTGAAGAACTTGATGCTTTTTTAAGGGTAAAAATACACAACTGTACTTTGCCCTGGCTTACTTTTTCTTTTTGTGGGGTATGGTTTATCTTAGCAGGTTCCAGTGTCAAGAGCCAACTTAATGATTTGCATATTATCTAGTTCAAGGGTAGGCAACCTTGGCTCTTTTATGACTCATGGACTTCAACTCCCAGAATTCCTGAGCCAGCCAGGAGTCCATGAGTCATAAAAGAGCCAAGATTGTCTACCCCAATCTAGTTTTACCGTAGATATCTTCTCCCTATATTTTTAAATGGAATGGCCGTGTCCATGCAAAAAGTCCAAATGTGTCCAGCTGTAAATAAAATGAAATATGAGCCATGTGGATGGTCACATTTCTTGGTGTTTGGAATCAAACATTTTCTTTGGAATTGCCTCAATTCCACACAATGATGGAGAAAACTAATCATAAAGAAATGAAACACTTTACCTATCCACTGATCTCAGTAGTGCTTTGACTCTTTTATCCTGCTCAAACTTGTCAGAATTTTTAAGCTGATTATTTTTCTCTTTACCACTAGCCCAATGCATATAGATAATTGCAAATATTTGTGGTAGAGCCTTGTAAAGAGCAATAGAAATGACTGGAAAAACTAGACAGAAATAACATCTGCAAAAACATGCTTTCCTCACAGGAAACAGAAAGTGTGGCAAGCAAATACAGACTGACTCCTTTCTAATTCAGCAGAGTGCAAGAGGGAGATAGGGAGGAGGAAGGAAAAAAATCAGTCAGGCTTTCAGCTTTCTGTTACTATATTTTATATCAATAAAGTAGAGTTCGGTCAGACTTGTGATGTCTGTTTTCTGACCCTATCTCCCTCAAACAACATTTTACAGAAGTCATAGTCGCCAAATTCTGCAGTTCTGATTTTTGTTTTATTTTAAAACATACACCACCACCCCCCATTTTCTCTCTTCTAGGATGAATCTGAATTTCGAGATAAGCTTACTCCAATTACTATATTCATGGAATATCAACTGGATTACAAAACTGCTTTGGATTCTACTGGTTTACAGCCCATCCTCAACCAGTTCACTCCTGCAAATATTAGCAGACAGGTATAAAGCTGGGAAATGTAATATGCTTTTATTTTTTTTTTTCAACCGATAATTTTTAAATGTTAATGATATTTTTTAAAAATATAAATATTTTAACAAATTCATTGTATTTATTCTGTGGGTGTTGTATTAGAGAAAGAAAGGATATTAATCACCCCCCTTTTTGGGGTTAGTTTTTCTAACCAAATTGTATAGATTTCTCTTTTAAAAGAAATAGTAGTTCTTTAATGTTATTCTCCCTTTTCTGAGTTGGAGAAGAACACTGTTTCTTGAGCCAAGGATGCAAGCACCAAGTCGATATTTTGCTATTCATCAGTATTGTAAAATTTATTCCCACAAGAAAAGTTTTTTATATTATTATTTGGCTTAGTGCCAAAATAAAATGAAAGTGAGTTACATCCGTCTTCAGTAATCTGACAAAGCAAGAAAAACAGTCAGGGATTTGTGGTTTAATTTTAATTTTTCTTAAATTTTGACTCATAGTCTTTTGGATTGTGGAGAAGATAATATCTGTCACCCAGATTTAAAAGTTACTGCATTTGGGATTTAATTTTAATTTTTCTCAAATTTAGGCTCATATTCTTTTGGATTGTGGGGAAGATAATATCTGCCGCCCAGATTTAAAAGTGACTGTTGACAGGTAAATTCTGGTTGATTCTTGATTCTGGAGGTATATAAATATGATTAACAAATGAGTAAATAAGCACAAATGTAAAGACGGGATAAAAAACAGATATTGGCAAGGCAGGGCCTAGTGCAGGGGTAGGCAACCTTGGCTCTTTTATGACTCGTGGACTTGGAGCATGGCTGGCTCAGGAATTCTGGGAGTTGAAGTCCACAAGTCATAAAAGAGCCACAGTTGCCTACCCCTGGCCTAGTGGTTCTCAAGACAGAGCTATTAGGTACATGTGTCTCGGCAATTGAACATCAAGCAATCAGCCAAGTATCTAATAATTTGGAAGAATGAAAGGAAGAAACCCAGAGAATAGATTCTAAGGTCTCTGACTTCTCCCCACTGCAGTGGGCAATCAGTTGCATTGAAGAGGCTTCATTCTTGTATGCAGTATTTATTCTGATCTAGCTAAATCATATCTGGGAAACTTCTGCCAAGCTAGCTAAATGCTAAATTAATGGTGAAATTTTGAAGTTTTGTGATTTTTATGCCCATCTTGATTTGCCAACAACGTTGACTCAATTCAGCATATCATACCTCACTTTTTAAGGTAGGAAATGAAAGATCTTTAGCCCATGCCTGCAGCCCTTTCACTTTTGCCTCACGTGAGTAATATTAAATATGATATTCTATTTGTTTACCCTGAGAAAATCTGCTGACTACCTGCTAATTGCCTCGCTAATAAACAAGGCAGAATATCACTTCCACAAAAATTCATGATGTTAAATCATAGAGTTAACCACAATTTCCTGCTTTAGATAGCCTGGAAACTGTGGTTAGAGACTTTGCCATTTAAATTATATTAAAAGAAATTAAATGAATTTAAACATATTTGTATATTAGTTTTTTTAAGACAGAGTTCAGTCCTCCAAATATGCAACTATTGTAGAGTTTTTAAACTACACCTGTTGAAATGCAAAAGATCAAATGAATTTGAGACTGAACTTCAGAGAGACAACAAAGTATATTTAATGAAAGTACCATTTTAAAGAAAAATGACCAACAGAGACAAGTTCTACTGGAAACTTATTTTTTCTCCTCCATGTTGCCTTTAATGTAGCTTTTAATGTACCTATATAAAATATGAATTAACCACCACAAACAGAAATCTTGACTCTGCAAGAAGAAGATACAAAGAAGAGGCAACATTTGCGATATGAGAAGCAATTAAAGAGTTATCTTCCTCCTGTCATTTCTCTAATCTACATTCATTTATCCTGAATTGCCTTAGCTTATAAAACCAATAAAAGGGGCAAAATGTCTTGGGGCTCAAACATGACCTTGTGAATGATATAACTTTATTAATTGTCCCTAAGCATAAAGATAAAGCCCAGAATAGTATTGTTTGTATGGTAATGCTTGGTAGAACAGCCATGAAGACCTTCGACAAGATATTCAAATGCTGTGAAGGGTCTAACCTACAACGATTAAAACAGTGTAGGCAATAATATTCCCTGTGAGACTGGATGGAAGTGAAAGTTGGACTTGAAGAAGTCAGACAAAAAAAATATTGACACTTTTGAACTTTGGTGTTTGAGAAGATTCCTGGGAATACTGTGGACAGCCAAGAAAACAAACAAATGGATCATTAAACAAATCAATCCATAGTTCTCACTCAAGGCACATGTAACCAGGTACAGATTAACCTACTTCAGATACATTGTGCATAGCTCTCTAAAGACAGCTCTAATGCTGGGAAAGGTGGAAGGAAAGAGAAGAGGACAACCAGAACAAGATGGACGGACTTAATCGCCATGGTGATGGATACACCACTGGAGGATTTGAAAGACCCGGTTAGGTATAGAATCTATGTTTTCACTAAGAGTTGAAACTGGCCAATCAATCAATCATGCCTAGGATCGTTAACTCAGGACAGCAGAATTCAGAGGTCTTGCATGGTTCAGATTCCCTCTTCTATAGCAAAGGATAGTTGTGCTTTTACTTCCTGGGGAGCTTTCAGAAAATCCTAATTGCCTGTCATGGTAATAGAAACAGAAAAGAAAAAAAAAACTCCTTATCTTCTCTCATTGCTACTGATTGTCAATGTATAGGAATTTACTATATAAATGCCTGTGATTTTTGCATTTGTATTGGATAAAAATCTAATCTGCTTCTCTGCTTCAAAATACTTCTAAAAAGAACTCCATAGAGGTAGGGACAGCAGTTTCCCATCCTGACATTGAACTACAGGTCTTATTTGGAAAAAAATATATATTTTTAAGTTTTTATTGAGTACAAAGAAAAAAAAGGATTAAAAACATTGAACATGGTAAATCGTCTTTAACTGACATCTTAGTCCATATTGTACATTATTTACATATAATATATCTATATACAAGCTATACATTTCTGGTCTCTATCTTAACTTATCTCTTTATTTGTGACCTCCATTTTTTTCCCTCCATCTATAAAATTTATTCCATATTTGATAAAATTCTGTTTCATCCTGATTTTTTAATCTTTTAGTTATCCTATCTAGTTCTGCGCAATACATAATTTTCTTTATTAATACTTCCTCATGGGTACTTCCATTGCTTTCCACTTTTGAGCAAATAGTATCCTTGCTGCCGTAACCATGTGAATAATTAAATATGTGTCCTCTTTATTTACATTTTTCTCTAGTATTCCTAATAGTAATGCCTCAGGTTTGTATAGAATGTTTTGCCTAGTCATTTCTATTGCCCATTCCCAGACCAAATGCCAATACACCTGTGCTTCTCTACATGTCCACCATACATGAAAAAAGGTGCCCTTTTCTTTTTTACATTTCCAACACATAGATGAATATATGTTATACATTTTGGCTAATCTGGCCGGAGGGAGATGCCATCTTTAAACCATCTTATACAGGTTTTCTTTATATGATGTCGCCAATGTGATTTTGTTATTTCGCTCCCATACTTGCTGCCATTGATCCATATTTATATTATATCCTAGATCTATTGCCCACGTCACCATTGTTTCTTTAACCTGCTCCTCATATAGCTTATGTTCCAACAGGTGTTTATAAATATTTTTATTTGTTTTTTCTCCGGGCCTAGCAGTGTTTTATCTAACCCCATATCTTGTCTGTTAATACCCCATTCTTGCTTATCCTTCATGTATCTTGCTTGTATCTGGAGATAAGACCACCATTCCATGTCTATTCCTTGTTGTTTTAGCTCTTGTTTTTGTTTTAAATAGCCTTCTTCTGTCAAGATATCTTTATATATAATAGCCTTGTCTTTTCTCTACAAATTGGAATATGTGACTGCCTCCAATGGCGATAGCCAAGCCGGAATCTTTGTGTAATATTGACGTTTAACGATATTCCAGCTTTTTATTAATTCTTGCCGAACCTTATGTCTTAAAAAATATTGGTGGTTTCTGCTTTGCCCCATCCATATGTGAGCATGCCAACCCTGCTGGAGGTCATAACCCTCTAAGTGTAAACATCTTTTATTTTCTAAAGTTATCCAGTCTCTAATTCACGTTAGGGCCGCTGCTTGGTAATATAGCTCTCAATCTGGGAAACCTAAACCTCCCCTTTCTTTGGCATCCTGTAATGCCTTTAATTTTATTCTTGCCTTCTTACTGGACCACAGAAATTCTAAGATTAATTTATTCAGCTCCTTGAAAAATTTCTTGTCTAATTGAATTGGGATATTCTGAAACAGGAATATCATTTTAGGTAACATGTTCATTTTCACTGTAGCAATTCTCCCAAGTAATAAAAGATGCAAATTTTTCCAACGGTCTAAATCTACTTTTATATTCGTTACAATTTGCCAAAATTGTCTTCTTTACTTGATGAGCAGTGTGCTGAAATAACTATCCCTAGATATTTTAATTTGGAAACTACTTGTATACCTAATTTTGCCTTGAGGTTTCCTTTTTGTATGTTAGTCAAGTTTTTTGTTATAATCTTTGTTTTGTTTCTATTTATTTTCAAACCTGCCAGATCCCCATACTCTTCCAATATTTTGAATAGTTTCTGCCCTGATTGTTCTGGGTCTTCTAATATAAATGCTAAGTCGTCTGCATAAGCTTGAAGTTTGTATGTTTCTTTCTTAATCTTAAATCCTTTAATCTGCTCTTCTTGTCTTATTACTCTAGCAAGAATTTCTAATGTATATATAAATTACAATGGCGAGAGAGGACATCCTTGTCTTGTACCTTTCTATATGTTGAATTTATCAGTGGCCTCTCCATTTATTATGATCTGGGCCTTTTGTTCGGAATATATTGCGGTTATCACGTTTAAAAATTTTTCCCCACCATCCATTAATTTTAGTTGTTGGATCATAAATTGCCAATTGACATTGTCAAAAGCCTTCTGTGCATCAAGGAACAGAAGTGCCACTTGACGATCACTATGCGATTCATAAAATTCGAGAATATCTAAGATTGTTCTTATATTCCGCTTAGTCTGTCTGTTTGGTAAAAACCCATTTTGATCTGAATGTATGAATTCAGTTAGGTACTTTTTGAATCTCTCTGCCATTATTGAGGCAAAAATTTTATAATCAGAATTCAGTAATGATATAGGTCTATAATTTTGTATCCGTGTTTTTTCCGCTGCTTCTTTTGGAATCAATATTATATTTGCCTCTGACCAGGACTTAGGTATTTTAGCATCGGTTAATACAGTGTTGAAAACTTCTAGTAGGTATTGATTGAGTGCACTTTGTTGTTCTTTATATAGTTCCACTGGTATTCCATCTGGGCCAGTCGCCTTATTGATCTTTTGTTTATTTACAGCCCTGATTATTTTAGCCTTTCTTATTTCCTCATTTAACATAGATTTTATTTCCTCCAGAATCTTCGGTATGTCTGCCTTCTCTAAGTATTCTATTATCCTTTCTGCATTTTTTCCCTCATTTCTCTTATATAGTTTTTCATAGTATCTTTGGGCGATTCCCCTTTTTATAGTCTCCTTCCCCTGAATCTCTCCTTTCTCATCTTCCAAATTAATGATCCGTAGCTTCTCTTTCTGCCTTCTTAGTTTATACGCTAGCCATCTTCCCGGTTTATTTGCATGTTCAAAGTTATTTTGCTTAGCTGCCTGTAATTTTTGTGCTAACTTTTCTGAATCCTCTATACATAGTTTATGTTTAATTAAATCCATTTTGTTTTTCAATCCTTTGTTTTCAGGATCTCTCTGAAATTGTGTTTCGGCCTTTTTGTATTCATCCTCTAGCCTCATTCTATATTGTTTTTTCTCTTTGTTTCTCTTGGCCATGTACAAAATTGTTATATCCCTCAAGTATGCTTTTGCCGTATCCCAAATGTTCTTCAAGGATATATCCTCATTGTCATTCACTTGAAAGAAAAGGTGCATCTCTTTCTCCATTCTTTCCTTAAATTCTTTTTCTTTAAGAATCACTCTTTGGAAAGTCCATCTTGGCCTGCTCCTTTGTCCTTTCAAGCGAAAACATATCGGATTATGGTCTGCCCAGAGGCTAGGTTTGATATCAATTTCTTGAATTTCCGAGGCTAATTCTTTTGTAAACCATAGCATGTCTATCCTAGTCCATGATCTGTGTCTATTACAAAAGTATGTGTATTCCCTCTTATCATAATTCCTTTCCCTCCAGTCTTCTCTCTCATTTCTCCAGTAACATTCCTAACTACTTCTAGTTCCGTTTTGATTTCCTTATGGTTCTTCATCATGACTTCCTGGATTGCCTGCATCATTGCCTGCAATTCGTTAAGTGGATTGGAACATTCTCTTTGAAGCATGTCATCTAACAATCTTTGGCTCATAGGGCTGGAACCTTGTGTTACGTTTCCCCCCTCCCCCCACCAATCTTAGCTAAATTTGGATTGCTTGCCATTTTAAATAAACTTTCCCACCACTTACTCTTCTTACAAAATATCCACTCTCTACTTCCCTCTTTTCGTTCTTCCATTTTCTCCCCCTTTACGTTATTCCCCTTCCAGGTGTTTAAACAACAATATCGCTGGTATATTCCATCTATGTAACTCTATCAATATAATGCTAATGCAAGTACAAGTTCTAACAGTTCAATCTCAGCTGTTAACTTTAAGCTTTCCCAGCGTTTTCCTTTTTTCTTTATATAATCCAATAAACCCTTCAATCTCTCTTTAATATCCTTTCTCTTTTGTTCTTTCTTCTGTCTCACCCTATACCGTTCTATACGTCCATATAGTCACCTGGTATCTCCTCAGCAACACTTTCCAAAGTTGTCAGTCTCTATATCATTCCAGTTCCTTCTATCATGCAATCTCTATCTCTTTCTGGGGAGAAGAAAAAAAAAAACACTAAAAGAAAGAGATCAGACACCTTTCTGCTGGCCAATCCACTCAGCAGACAAAGGCAAAAGCCCGAGGCCATAAGACAAGGTTCTTAGCTTAAATGAAGCTAAAAGCCACACACACAAAAATATTTTGATGAAGAGGGATCACTTTTATTTTGTCTTGTTTTTTTGCAGTGATCAGAAGCAAATCTACATTGGAGACGACAATCCATTAACCCTAATTGTCAACACTCAGAACTTAGGCGAGGGAGCCTATGAAGCTGAACTCTTTGTAACCATCCCACCACAAGCAGACTTCATTGGTATAGTTCGCAACAATGAGGTACGTTGAGGACCTGGGTGAATGATCTTATTGCTACTCATTAGAGTAGTAGCTCAAAGCTTCAGCTTCAGCTTTCGGTGCAAAAAGTCTCAGGATCAGTTCCCAATCCAGCTATTCTTCTGTATCTTCTGTGAGAGCTGGTAATAGATCAGTCCATCACCCAAATACAAATGGAAACCAGGTCTCCTTCCCCAAAGAGAGGACCATGAAGCCCATTACATTGTTTGGGCAGAAGAAAGGTACATCTTTTGGTCTTGATTTCACTAAACATTGGTCTCATGATATACCACAGTTGCTAGAATTGTTCTGTAATGGTTTCTTAACAAAAAAGTATTTATTTCAGCTTTTCTGCCTTTGAAAAGCTATTACTTGATTTTGTTCAGTTACAGTTTTACATTGTCAACCAAGGAAAATTGTAATGTATTGGAATTTCTGTGAGTTTTTGGTACTAGGCGTCTGGATAGCCATAAAAAGAATATAATGTAGCAAAACCTAAATGTATCGTGGAATGTTTAGGGGAAGTGGTACCTGTTATTTCTGAATGTCTGTTTAATCCAAATTTATGACATTGGAATCTGTTTACAAAATTTTGCATCATATGCCTAATGATGTTATTATAATGATGGTTGTTGCTTGGAAAAATGTAAGTATAAGTGAAAAATTTAGACTACGGACTTAATTCACTCTTTCAGGAGAAAGTGCAGATGCATTTTTTGTTGCTGTTTTGCATCTGATGACCAGTAAATTAAGCCAAATAATTTATTATTTTAAGTGTAATGATTATTTTATGATGTATCTGAGCACTTTACCTGGTGTACCAAACAAACTATTGTACCTTGGCTATTTAATTTTGAAAAAAAAAATGTATTCATTGCAGGCTCTTGCAAGACTTTCATGTGCATTTAAGACCGAGAATCAAACTCGGTTGGTTGTCTGTGATCTTGGAAATCCTATGAAAGCAGGAACAAAGGTAAGAATGAATTCATCTCTTTGTTTGCTGTCTTTGGAAGAAAGAAGGGGAGAACCCCTCCATAGAGCAGGGCTTGCTAGAATGGGATAGAGAGACAGCGTCACACTTTGATTCAGAGCTACAGTAGTATCCAAGCTTGAGTCTCTTTCTGAATGTTGCCTATTAAAATCTGTATATTTTCTCTTGTGTTAAAGCTCTCAGCTGGTCTTCATTTTAGTGTTCATCAACAATCTGAGATGGATACTTCTGTCAAGTTTGATCTACAGATCCGTAGGTAAGGAACACATACATAATGTGTTTTTGTTATAAAATATGATTATCTGGTACTAATTATGTTACTTTTAATACTTTAAAATATGGAAAACCTTGTGTAAGATGAAAATATAGGAGCGTAGTATTTTAGTCTATACAAAGGCAATTCGGAAATAAACCTCCATTTGGTTATCAATGACAGATACTCACAAATACAGAGCTTTTATTATACATATTAGAAAACTACAACATTACATTATTTTTTGACATAATTGTCATTCAAATTGAGGCACTTGTCATAAAGTCTTGTAAGGTTTGAAATTCCTTAGTAGTAGTTGCTCGTTGCCAAATCTAGACTATTTGGGGGGGGGGGGTCAAAAATATCCCAATGGAATGCTTCAAAAGTTCTTGGGTGCATCTAGTAATGTGCGAGCGAGCATTATCGTGAACCATACACCACATTGGAACTGGTGCCATAGAAAATCCCGCCAAATGTGAAGATGCCAAAGAAGTTCTGCTAGTGAAATTCATGGACCATGGTTCAACCATCAATTCAGAAGTCTACTGTGAAATGTTACAAAAACTCAGATGAGCCATCCATAACAAGTGTTCGGGCATGCTGGCTTCCGGTGTGGTGTTGGTTCATGATAATGCTCACCCGCACATGTCGAAAAGTAATATAATATTGTAGTTTTCTAATGTGTATAATAAAAGTTCTGTATCTGCGAGTGTCTGTCATTGATAACCAGACAGAAGTTTATTTCCAAATTGCCCTCGTATATAGTTCCAATTTCATTTCATTAAGTTTCATTTCTAGCCTTTTGGGCCATTAGTATCTGAACTGGAATATTTCAAAGTGTCCTTTTACTTAATAAATTTGGTGGTCCTTGTATTTAAAGAATTGTTTTGTTCTAAACCAGGGGTAGGCAACCTTGGCTCTTTTATGACTCATGGACTTCAACTCCCAGAATTCCTGAGTTGAAGTCCATGAGTCATAAAAGAGCCGAGGTTGCCTACCCCTGTTCTAAACCAACTCTGTTCTAAACCTTTTTTAAGATGGCACCCAAAGTAATTGTTGTTAACTACAAAATTAGTAGTTAGGTATTTTAGTACAAGTAATCGCCGAATTATGAGTATTCACTTAACGCTTGTTTGAAGTTACGTGATGAGCGCCTCCTAGTGTTTACGAGCAAGTCCCATTACGAATATTGCAGCACCACAGCAGTCGTTCGTCCTTGTGAGCAACTTCAGTGGCACTGCAACATTCACCCTTTTCCCTCCTTATCCAACACTTTAGGAAGTTTAGACAAAAAGACTCCAAATAACTGACCTTACAAATGCAACTATGAAAAGAAGAGTAGTTTTGTCATCCTTAGTGGGCCCCTAGGAGCCTGGGATTTTTCACACTACCTCCTTTGAGGAGAGTATTCCATTTATAAATTTCCTCTTTGATGTTCTGCAGAGTAGCAGAAGGGAACTCTTACACACATTTTTAAAAGATTGTAAAAAAAAAGATAGAAAGGAACAGGAAAAATAAGCTCCCGAATAGAATTCAGTGCTTCATCTCTGGTATAGCCAAACTTCTGAATCTGATGGTATTTCAAAACTTGAACCTTACCATATAACTGTATTATTCTACAGCTCCAATTTGTTTAACAACCTAAGCCCAGTGATCTCATATCAAGTGGACCTGGCCATTTCAGCTGCTGTAGAAATTAGAGGGTGAGTGCTGATCTTTTCACAACCTCTGCCTTGATTTGAGGGTTCTGCTCCATGTACCATGTCCATTCATTCCTGTTTTTCCTCATCCAATTTAGGGTCTCCTCTCCTGATCATATTTTCCTCCCAATTCCAAACTGGCAACCAAAAGAAAATCCAGAAACAGAGGATGACATAGGACCTTTAGTTCAACACATCTATGAGGTATGTTGATGCTCAGAACAATAAATAATAATCATAGATCCTGAAGACACAGAATGCTTTTTTTTTTCACCATTACTTCTTGTTGTATCAGTAAGCTGAACAGATAACCCTGTGGGTGCTTTACTGATTTCCAAAGTAAAAGCCAAATATCTCCTTCAGGCACTCTTTTACTCCTGCTTTCTTTAAACTTTTGTCTTCTGCAGCTACTGGATTTCAACTCCAACATGTCCCAGCCAGCATGGCCAGTTCAACACATATGTGGAATATTGCAGCCTTCTATAACCTTGCATTTACCAGAATCAAGGCGATTTAATCTGATCTTCTCTATCCTAGGCCTATTTTGGTCTCATTAAGTTAAATGAAGTTCATACATTGCCATATTCTATGGGTTGATCTGCATGACCAACCATGTGCATGTGATACATATTATTTCTCAGGGAAGGAATGTGTCATGTCATTTTCTATCCACCCTAAGCCCACTATGGAACAATCTTCACCTTATTTGTTTATTTATTTGTCATATTGCTAAAGCCGACCAACTCCATAGCAACACCATGAGTGGTGTTTGTTAATTTACACTGGCACAAGCACTTCAGTCCATTTCATCTGCTGTGTTTTATTTCATAGAAGGGAAATGAAATTTCCTCTGATTACTGTGCTTTGTGTCAAGAACATTTTGTCCCTCTTGTCACTGATTACTGCCCTGCACAGTTACTTTGTCCTGAGCTTCAAACTGTCTGCCTCCTTCTGGAAAAAATCTCCCTCTGATGGATTTTTTTCCCTTTTATTTCACTATTGGGCTGTCCAGCTGCTTTTCTGTGACCATTTCTTCCTGTCAGCTCTACCCCATTCAGCCATTTGGTCATGATGTGATTAAATGAGTAGAAAAAGAGCTAAAAATAGAAGGAAAGAGATGGGCACAATGTGAAATTGGTGAAATAGTAAAAGGCTAGACTTTTTTTTAAAGAAGTTCACTGATAAGGAAATGAAACATGTACCTTTTAAATGAAATTGACAGGAGTTCTCCACAAATTGTGCACAAAGTAAAATATTGATATTTCTTTTTCCAGTCCACTGGTAGGTGTATCAAATTGTCAAGTATATGGGGGAATCAACAGAACAGCTCATGCAAAAGGTTATTGGTGTTCTCAAAGATTATGTTTGATGCTTGCTTTCCTGGTATGGGTGGGATGGATCAAAAGCAAGGGATTCTGCTAATCAGAACTATTTTAATTATGCCTCGTGATAGCCCTGGCAAAGGAGGCAGAAAAGGTTGAAATCCCAAAAGGGTTTCTTACACTAGTTCCATTTCTAGCCAGTTTATGCACTTCTAGCCAGTTTATGCACTTCTAGTCAGTTTATGCCTTGCCCAATCTGTGCAAGACTGCTTTGGAAGCTGACTGATTCACTGAATATGGTTCCTATTAAACTGATTCCTTTTCCACTTCTTTGTTAGCTCAGAAACAACGGTCCAAGTACCTTCAGCAAGCTGATGCTCAATCTTCAGTGGCCATATAAATACAACAATAATACTCTTTTATATATTATGAAATATGAAATTGAAGGACCCATGAACTGTACATCTGATATGGAGATTAACCCACTAAAAATTAAGGTAAAAGGAAGCCTATTCAGACTCTCTGAATACCAAGCTAACTATCTGTCTATGTGTTAAATTGTATGGATTATTGTCAATAATTACAGCAATAATGAATGTTTGGCATTAGCAATGGAAAAAAATAAACAATTTTAATGGGATAGTAGAGCCACCTATACTAAGTAGATAAATATGACCTATGAAAATAGCTGGAAGAAGCAGCTTCATCTCCTAGTTTAAAAATCCTTTTTTTCCATGAAGGATCCTATCTTCAATCAGTTGGTTTTCATATCATAGAGTTAATGCCTGAAATATTCTGCAATATTATAGGTGTTCCACAATATTCTCTATGATGTAGCTTATCATTTTGGGGTTTGTGCATTCATTTCATTCATCCCAGGGCTGCTCCTGGCTTCCTCATTGCGGATTGACTCTTTGATGTTGTACGTGGGTAGGGGAACAGCCTGTTGCAGTGGATCACACATTGTTATATCTACAAATAAATATGGATTAACAGCATTTAGAGTTTGTCCAGGAAATGTGCCAGTAATCAAACCTATCTTGATTATACAGGTATCAACTTCTCAGCAAGATGAAAGGAATGAAACGCTTAGCGGAGAAGATATCCGCAATCACCAAATCCATCGGAGAGATCTAAGTGTTCCAGAGGAAGATGTACAAACTTTGGTAAAATCTATGTGCTAACTGCTTTACAAACAGTCCTTTTGTCAATATTTTAGAAGAAAGTTCAGATGTTTAGGAATATTTAAATTTTTTGTGAAGCAAATACTGGAAACAATTTATTGCTCTAATTCAGGGGTCTTCAAACTTGGCCCTTTTATGACTTGTAGACTTCAACTCCCAGAATTCCTCAGCCAGGCATGTTGGCTGAGGAATTCTGGGAGTTGAAGTCTACAAGTCATAAAAGGGCCAAGTTTGAAGACCCCTGCTCTAGTTGGTCAGAGTATGGTTGGGCTATGGATAAAGTAAGACACAAAAAAATAAGGCCTGCTACTGAGCAAGTTGGTAGTACAGTTGTTTTTTTAGTTTTTCTCTGTTTTTCTCTGATCCCTAGACTTCATTGACTGAACAACTTCTTTTCTTTGTCAGACAATCATAGGGAATCTATCTGCCTGCTTGCTTACCTGTTTGCCTACTTATTTCTCTGTCTCCGTCTCCGACTCCCTCTCTATCTGTATAGAATTTTTAAACTATTTCAATCTTTTAAGACTGTAAGTGGAATTGAAATTGTCTGGATGTTTTTCAATGAATAATTCAAACTATCAATATTGATGAAAGATTAATAAAATGTGGTATGTTCAAAGCAGTTCACATCTTCAACAGACATTTGTTTAGAGAGGTCTCAGGTACAAATATAGGAAAATATTTGAAAAATCAAACTAAGTTCAATGACTTAAGAATCTGGTAAATTTTAGCTGGTAGAAATATAAATTAGGATCAGGGCCAAATAACAGCCGAATACACCAGGACATACTGGAGAGTAATACGTGGAATACATGCAGGCAGCAGGCTCTAAACAGAAGAAAAACCAAAATCAGAAAGCAAACCTTTGGCTTCACACTGTTACTCAGCCTTATAAGCAATACATTTTTAATTTTAAGTTGTTCAAACCAATTTCATCTTAGTGTATATATTTTTTGATATTACGGTATCATTAAATGGAAAACCAGTCTCTAAATTGTTAATCCTTGACTCAAGTTTGAGTTAGAGAAGTTTGGGAGCTGCACTTAGGAACAGTTGTTTGGAAGCTTGGTTAATGTCTGACTTCTGGTGGAAGAAGAGAGGCTTGAAGGAACTCCTTTCTCTGTTGCATCCAGCTCATCGTTTCTCCTTATGGTATATTCTCCAGCAGGGGCAAGTTGAAGTATAGCGTGAAGTATATGGAGAAGTTCTTATCGCAATACCTCAGCCACCGCAGTGTTAAAGAAGTTGGATCTCAGTGGTCCTTAGTAGGGATGATTTAATGCTGCCTCCTCACTGCACTTCATGCTCCTTTGATGTGTGAAGTGCAAGCTGCTGCAACATATTTGCCAGCTGAATCATTTTTTATAAAAAAAAAATCATTTTTCCAGACATTCCTGGGAACACTGGAGTTCTTAAAAGATTGTACCACGGACTTCTTTACAGTTGCTTATTTCAAGGGTGATGGCACCATATTTTTAAAAGTGCTTCATTCTAAAGATGCAATGAAAGGAAAGGCAGTGAAAAGAGGGACTTTTGTTCCTTTTTCTTAATTTTGCATGAAGTATTACGTGCACAAGATCACATCATATAAATGTCAACTAAAAATGTAAAATTTTGGTTTTTGGTATTACAATCCTGACTTATAAATCAAATAATACAGAGGTTCAGAAACCAGAAAAGCCTAGTTAAAATGGATATTTTCCTTCAATTATTTCTCCCATCTTTTTTTTCCCCCTCAGTAAATTTCTTTAGAAGGAAATGGCACACCAGCTGTACAATATAACTTTATGAGTATTACCAGAGCATCCATGGGTCAAAAAAATCAAGACAGAAACCACAACCGTGCAATTGAAATTCTGCCCCCTTTCTGCGTGGAATTTTGCGTGATTGTGTGATTGTATCATCAGTCTTGGGCTAGAAAATAACAATCTGTAAATTAAATCTAACAAGTAGTTGCGTAACTAAATAAAATCAACTGTTCTCTTCATCCTCCTTTTTTTTTAAAAATGCCAGGGTTGTGGAAACGCAGATTGTTTAAAAATATTTTGCCAAGTTGGTCGCCTAGAGAGGGGAAAAACTGCAATTCTCTATTTGAAATCTCGCCTGTGGGCTCAGACTTTCATGACTGTAAGTATCTGGTGCTATTCTTGCAGTTTCACTCTGCTCCCGAGTACAGATAATAACTGATTGTAATATGATACTTCTCTGTCATTATCCCCATGACAGAAAGAAAACCAAAACCACTCCTATTCTCTCAAGTCATCAGCTTCCTTCAATGTCATCGAGTTCCCCTATAAGAATCTTTCCTTTCCTGAAGATGTCCACAATTCTACAATAGTAAGTTGTTTGATAATCAAAATTAGATTTGACATTGTCAGTGTAATTAATAGGAAATGAAACAATAATCTGATCGGCTTCTGCTCTTTTTGCTAGGCAATCTTACACGGCTGGTAGTTAGATTTATACTATCTGATTACATGCTGCTTAAGTGTTTATTAAATTTGAGCCTTTTTAAGGGCTTTGGAAGTGATCTAAAGACTGCTGTCCGATTTGGACTCACTTGTTGAAGGGGGCGGGGGAAGCAGCTGTTACACGTGCAGTTTTCTATTTAGGAAGAAAAAAAATCTAGTTTTGACCAGGCAGTCTTATTCGATAGTGCAGTTTAGAATGGTCTTGGCTTGGCAAACATGGGGTGAATTTAATTTAGTTCCATAAAAGACAATGAAATTAAGCCAGAAAACTTTAAAGGGCTTCAGTTTTAACCTTTATAATATGATGTGCAAAGTTCCTAAGATCCCTGTGCATTTGACTTTCAGCTGGATGGAGAATCTCAAGCAGAAGACAGAGTGGGAGATAAGCAGCCGTAAGGCTCTGTCTCCATCCCTTTGTTTAAGTTGTGTCTCCCTATCTTCTGAATTCCAGTTCCTTAGTCTTTCAAACATATCCTTGTTGTCTTAGAAACCTGTACATTTTTTATTTCTATGAAATCTTTTAGACAGCTTGATTCTTCAGATTCTATTGCAGCCAAGAAAACATCCATAGGTTTTCAATCATAAGCCAATAAGACCTTCTTCTGTGACCTTCATTGTGGAATGTATAGTTCAGCCTATCAGACTCAGGTGGTGAAAATCTTGCCCCGTGTTATGAAGTTCCTATTTATATCCCTGACCCAGTTTATCTTACTCATTTTTTTCAGTAAAATATGTTGACATTTCTTTCCTTTTTAGGTTACCACAAACATCTTGTGGGGTATTCAGCCAGCACCAATGACAGTACAAGTATGGGTAATCATACTGGCTGTCTTAGCAGGATTATTACTTTTGGCCCTTCTCGTTTTTATAATGCACAAGGTAAGTGAATATTTAATCAAATCCTGTCCATTTTTGTTTAAAAAATTAAATATTTGAAATACTTTATGATTTTAATCCAGTGTGAAGACCAGAAAGTTCCATTAACTATTATCTGGGGAAGTATTGCCTTTGTTAGATTGAAATAAATAGATGGGCTCTCCTTGGGATTGAGAAACCTCACTTTTTGGGAAGCCCAGCAAAAGGTAATGGGTGTGGTTCAAGATGCTATCTATCACCTATAAAGACCTTCATACCCATTAAAACCTAGTTATCGAGGGGAAGCCTCTCTCTGACTTTTTGGTCCTTCCAGGAAGATCAAGGATAGTTGAGATACTACAGGTCCTCTCAATTACACTATGGAGTCTAAGAAGCTTGCTTTCTCCATGCCTGCCCCTGCCTTGTGGAATACTTTCCCCCCAGGTTCCAGTAGGACCCTACCTTTCTGCCTTTTCAAAAGGCCATAAAGAGCTGGCTCTTCCCCCAAGTTATGGGCTAAACTGTGACTTCGGCTCAGTAAAAGTGAATGTTCAGGTATGCAGGATTCATATTTGGGGGTACCTAGAGTTATTTTGATGCTGGTTGTATGCTTCTTCAGTTGTGTTTCTGTGAGCCACTCAGGATTACTACAGTATATGTAAGATGGGGTAGTCATATAAGACTTTTTAAAATAAATAAATGACAATGAGACTCTTTTCCTTTCCATGGCTTGAAAAGGGACATAAATCGGGGATGGGTGGTACAAAGAAATGTGTCTCCATCCTTATTTTTATCATGTCAGCAAGGAGAGGAGATCAGTGGCTCTAAAGTTGGAACACTTTAACTTGCAGACAAGATTGTCCTGTAAAAATATTGTCCATGGCCATTTGCTACAATTTTTTTTTTTCTGGTAAGGAGAGGAAGCTGGAAATTAAATTGGAAAATAGTTGCTCTTTTGGCCAACTCAGACTATTGCTTGAAGGTTCTCTGTGGAAATGATACAAAATGGCATGTATAAATTCATGCAAATACGCATGTTCTGTGTAAGAGGATTATACTAGCACGGTGTATCAATTTTTTCCAACTTATCTGATACAATACCATTAATCCACATGCTCACTTGCCTCAAGGTTTATATGGAGAGAAAAGTTTGTTAATAATTGCTATATATCTGTGGTGGAATCATCAGCTAAAGGAGTAAAAAGGTGTTCCAGCACAGAGTTGTTTCATGAGAGGAAACGGCAGAGGCAAGACTATTGAAGCTTTTATCTATGGATTCTCGAGAGAATGCAGTCAGTCTGGTGAGATTCTTATAAATAGGTTTTATATGTATCGACAACAAAGGTGCTTTATCGACAATCAAGAAACTGCTTTGGCCTATTCATGGAGTTATTCTGGTTGCTAGCACCTGAATTATCTCACTCCTTACTATAATGTCTTCTCTACATTATAGGTGGGTTTCTTCAAACGTGTGCGGCCACCTCAGGAAGAACAAGAAAGAGAACAACTTCAGCCTCATGAAAACGGAGAAGGGACCTCAGAAGCTTAAGCAGTATTTTAACTGCATCTTTTACCAAAAGATTTAGAGCGATTGCCAACTTCCTTTAGAAATATGCATTTTGATCCTTGAGGACTGCATAGCAAATGCCTTTTTTTTGCTATTGGCAAAATTAACTGGGAACTGAAAGTGACATGTGCTTGTTTCCCTCTTATTAATCAAGTTCACATTTGTGACTAATACAGATGCACTGACTAATATATTTTAGTGCCACAATTTTGCTTACTGATGTCCAAAAGGCAAAGTGAGGAGATGGGGTTTGGTTGGTGTTTCATTTGTTTTTTAAAAAAATTATTGGTACAACTTGATCTGCTCCACTACTTCCAAACTTGTAACAACTACAGCTGTCTAGAGAACATGAACATAAACTGAAGACCTGCTCCTGAACTTTTTAACTGGACATTCCCAAGGTACTCACCAGTTTCTGAAGAATTTCTTCACCATTTCTAACTTGGAGATATTAATGGCAAGAAGCATTGAGTGAAATAACTGACAGATTTACTTCAATTGACTATTTAGGGATAACTTCTGTATAGAAGAGGACCTTACTGTCACCGTGATGTGTTTCCATTTAAGGAATTGCTGTCCATTTTATGGAATCTTTCATCTGGAAAGATGTACTTTGGTTGTATGGAAGATCATAGATCGCATTTATCAGTTCCGCTACCCAGTTTTATGTAGCATCATGAAATTGACTGATTCATGCAATCTTTTTCTGATTCCCTTTTTTAATTTTCTGTGGTTTTTTTACATTAAAAAAAAATCAAAATCTGTGCCAAGTTGTCCACATTCTACATTTAGGATAAATAATTCTAAGATTTTCCTGTATAATTTAATTTTGTTTTGAAGCTCCAGGTTTACAAATAGTTTGGAATGATTTCTGGTTAAAAGTTAGACCTTGAAAGACTTCAGGAATTATAAAACAATAAAACCCATATTGATTTCAGTAAGCTCTCTGCTATTCCTATAGAGCTTCTTCATTATATTACATTACAGATTTCAACTCTACTTTTCACATAGAAATTTAAAAATTTCCTTTAAACTTATTAATAGTTTTAATAATAATTTTAAAGGAAATCATCATTTTTATCTCAGAAAGTAAATCAAGCCTGGGTCCTACGTTCATAATTATCATAAAGGAGTAAATAAATTATAGATGGGCAACTTGAGCTCCCCAGCTTACAACTGAGCCCCTTTCCTAACCGTCTTTGAGAAATGATTGCTGAATACTGACAGTCATTTCCTACTATTCTGAGATGGAAAGCCTGTAGAAACTCTAGTTTAAGCCCTCAAAAAGGGCTATCATGATTAAAAAATAAAAGTAATATCCCCAACATTCTCTCAAGATCTGTCCTGCTTACCTGTGAGGTAAGACCCCAATGATCTGTGGCCTTCAGATCCCCTCCTCCAAATGTTAAATGCAAATGTGGCCAACGAAAATTCTTGTGTTCCCAAACTAAATACACTCCCAGCTATAAACCTAAGGAGAGACATTGATTGTTTTAGTGGTTAACTAGTAATGATACTGAGGAACAATGTGGTTTTTAATGGCGCGCATCTAGCCTTTCCCCAATTTCATGGCCAGAAGACACTTTCCATTCCACAGCTTTTGCAATACATTTGCTACATTCCAGCCAGCAACATCAGAGTATGGCATCAGATAAAAGTTTCTTGAATTTCAGGACAGGATTGTAAATTCAGGGCAAGCTATATAAATCTTATCAATAAACAAACATGCTGATGTCGGACAAGAAAAGACCTCAGCCCAGGCACCCATCGTTAGCTACAATGGTACCAAAATGACAAAACTATGTATAGCATATAATGCACCGTCTTTTGGTCCTTGCGTCACAAAATTACACATAGGTACATAAATAATTGAGTTTGTGTCACATATTTTGTTCCTTGTCTCCTCATCCACCCATTCCTTTTAAATACCCATGAGCTTTAAAGATCTCTTTTAGACCACTGGAATGAATGGAACTTCTTTTTGAGATTTTCTGGGATCCTGGCAGGGATTTTCAGTACACACTTAAACATATATTTCAGTTAAGAAAGTTGATAAAAAAATGCAAGGGCTTATATGAAGAGTTCGTTTATGGAGATCACTGAGGCCAAGTACATAAAGCCACTGTAAAACTAAATTCTGAAGCTTCATTTTAAACATTTTTTCTTTACTTTTGGTTTTAATGAATCTCTTTTGGGGGGGAATGTAAGGGTATGATTTAGTTGAGAAATAAAAGAATGTATTTCTTTTATTACTATACTGTATTATACTCTTACTGTGATTTCTTTGGTTACTATAAAGACAAACATGTCCCACGTGTAAGAGCTGTCAAAGCTTATATGTTCAACCACTGATAAAAATTATAAAGCTTTCAATGACTGAGAAATGTTATTACTAGTTTTCCTAATATTTTTCTTCAGCTTTGCTGAACAGCAAAATCTAAATAGGCTGAGTTGCAGTGTTTCATCTACTGTAGGGTCTGGTTCACATATACATGTACATTGATTTTTTTATTATTACTTTATTCTTGCTGACCAGCAGTGGCATTTATGTACCAGTGAGAAACAGTAAGTCTGAAGCAATATGAGGAAAGAAAAGAAATCTTGAAAAAATGGAAGAGGTGTGGGTGTGTGCGTGCTACTTGTGATTAGACTTGTATTACTGAATGAACACTATCTGAATAAATAAAGTTTTGAATGTAAGAAGCTGCAAGCACCTTACATTCATATCCTGTATGTACAAAATTTTACTCACTTGATCTCCTTCCCAAATAGCTTTACTTGTATAGAACTGTTTTTGTATAGAACTTACATTTTTTTTTTCCCACAATGAATGGTTGGGCTATTGTGGCAGTGCTCCAGTGAAACATGAAGTTTTCTTACAAACTTTTCTGCCCAGATTAATCAATGGCCAACCTGGATGAGCAGAATTAGTCCAAGATGTTGTGTTCAGTACTTCTGAATGAACAGAATCAGTGCAGATCCGTTTAGCATAATTTCTGTATTATGAGAGCATGGATCATATTAACAGTAAGAAACTAATTTTTTTAGAAACTATTTCTTTTTTGAAGTTTTTCCCTCCTTAAATAAGGTTTTAGATGATTATTTCTCTGGTATAATTTTGGGCTCCAGCGAGCTGGTATAACTTCACTATTAATCAGGGACTCAGTAAAGTGAAGTTTCCCTCTTTTTTAATAAATGTTTGCTATTATTGTGTGGGCAACTTATGTCTACCTTGCTCATTTATATGCAGATCTCTGTGCAACAGATATTACTCTACAGAGCCATTGAAGATGGCCCAATGATGAAAACAACACGGCACAAGTGTGGTTTAGTGTGGTTTATGCCCTTTTGTAATGTATAATGATGTTTACACATTAGTTATTAAATTAATTTTTGCTTCCATGCCCTTCAACCTCTTGAAGAATTCCTGGTGTTTCACCAGTTTACTCTGGAGTAGTTCCAACATTCTGGAGAACAACATTGTACAGTGAAAAATATGGCACTTTTCATACTTTTATACAAAATTGTGGCTGCACTTATAAGGACAGAGAGAGTGGAGGCCAAATACAAACTCCACTGGAGAGAATACCTGTTATAACTTCGGACAACTATGAGAGAGGAGAGTCCCATTTTATAATATATTTTAAATCAATTAATACACCTCAGTCTAAATACTAACATAGAGACTGCATCTCCAAAAGAAGGCCCATTCCCCCAAGCTTTCCTTTTCTTTCTTAAATAATACTGTAAGAGGAAGGCACATTGTCTAAAACTTTTCTTTCTTAAATAACACTGTATCTATTGAGTTGTGTACAGCAGTTTGACAGGCAAGGTAATTCCTAAAATTACTATTCTAATTTTCAGTTCAGTAAATGAAATTAAGAACTTTCATTACCGACTGCAAATATTCCTACAATCAAAACTTGCCCTATTTGCTGCCATCTAGTAACAGTTGAGATTTTTTTCTAGTAGCCCTATTGAAGAATAAATTAGAAAGAAGACAGAAATAGTCAATTGCCCCCCCCAAAAAAACACAATATTTACTTAGGGGCATTTCCCTAGGAACCCTTGGCATGGTGTGGAATGTAATGCCCCTTAGGCAAAACAAATTCACCCAAGGGAAGGTTTCTTGGAGAGACCTCTACCTTACCTAGCTCTTCCTGACTTTAAATAAGGGAAACACATTCAACCTATACCAGGGGTAGGCAACTGTGGCTCTTTTATGACTCGTGGACTTCAACTCCCAGAATTCCTGAGCCAGCATGGCTCAGCTTGGAAACTTCTCCCTTTCCCCTCAGCATGGCTGGCTCAGGAATTCTGGGAATTGAAGTCCACGGGTCATAAGAGAGCCAAGGTTGCCTACCCCTGGCCTATACATAGCTACTGATCATCTCCCTTAACAATAAGTTGAGATCTACCCTAACAAAAATTATATATGTAGGTGACAGCAAGTTTGTCTACATATTTGGAAATCCAAAAGAGTAGGACAAATATTTAGTAAGGCTACATGTGTGGACAACCTTGGGGAACAAGGGGAAGAGATGCTGCATAGGAAACAGACAAAGAGAGGCAGGAACCCCCAGTGGCTTAAAACTTAGGAAGAACCCAGCCTAATTGACCAGACTGTTAAAAGTAGCAGCAAGATGTTCAGGCTTGCAAGATTCTGTTAATGCAGCTTTACAGTAAGGTAGAATTAGCTCATCTAGTCATATTTCTAGTCTGGATTACCTGGAAGAACTGACGGTCCCTTATTTAAAGTTTAGAAAAGGGACTCAAGTCAAGGTGAATCCTATCAACTTTGTCCACAAACAATGATACCATTTGCACACAGTCACTAACTAATTTGGTTCCCTCTCTCTACTGCTTTGGCTAAAGAACTGCTGCCTAATACAGAAAAACAATATGGAATCAGAGTTATAGGCATGCGAAACAAGATAAAACAACGTAAAGTTATGAAAAGCATTATAACTTTGTTGTGCAAATAATCCAATTATATAATTGGGTGGTGATATTTGATACAAATATCTATTGTACGTCATGTCATTTATATTACGACACATATATAATAATTTCCCTCCCCCTGGGCCTTGCAATTATGTGACTCACTATATAAAGAAAATAGATGAGGTCCAATATATGTCCCAGCCATTTCTAAAACTGGTTAGAAATATATTATATATTCTGCTCTATGGTTTGACCAAAGGCTAAATCTAGAATGTTACTATCTACCGATATACTGTATATCAGGAATGAAACATGCCTTAAGATAAGTATAGCTATACTATTCCTTGCAGCATATTGTATTATTAGAAATCACATTTGTTACTGTTGAGTTTCTACTTTCTTATTATTATTGCAACTTCTACTTGTACAGTTGAATTGTTTCTGACAAAAAAGTTGGGATGTTGTGTCAATTACAACTGTCCAATTTGAAACAAATCCAGAAAATTCAAATTGGTGATACAATTGAGTATAACACAGGAATAGAAGTTTCTGTCACCAAGAAAAAGTGAATACTAATTAATTCAAGTTTCCATTACAGGACATAGATTTATAATTCTCAGCTCCAAATGCAATTTCTTCTATTCAGTGCCCATCAAACTACATGGTTCAGTATGGATGAACCTTCAAATGAACTCTACCATAACATTCCTATTAAATTCTGAATCAATTAGAAGTGACTTGTTTCATTATATTTCATATTTAAATGACTAGTGGATAACAAAGCTCATAATAAAGGACCCATACAGGTGATTTTGAAACTACAACTGTAGCATGTTTTTTAACAATTTAATTCACTAAACAATTACCCTTTTAAGTTCTGAAAAGTAGAATGTAATAATACGAAGTGCTTTTGTTTAGCCTTGTATTATCTCTTTTGGGCACACAATCTAATGAAATCCTTGTTATCCATGAAGTCTCTCTCACACATAAGAGTAACATAAATGCGTACAACTGTAAATAAATGGTTATCCTTCTATTTTCTTTTATTTTTATCATGATACCTGATATACTTTTGGGAAGGGAAGTGGAATCATGGAGAATTATGGGCATTACAAAATGTGTTTGCTTTCTATTATTTAGTTGCCTTTTAAGCCATATAATAGAAAGACTGATAAATATCACCAAGTATAACCAACATTTATAATCTGTTTAAAACATATTATATGCAATATGCACTTTTTGATATATATGTTTTCTTTCTTTCTTTCCCTCAAATATAATGAAAATTTTCCTAATGTAGTACAGAAATGAAGTACAGGCATACATTAAAGCTTTTTTAGTTACTTGAGTTTTGTTTAACCAAACTCTTTTTAAAAAAAAAAAAACCCGCAGAAATAAGAATATTAGAGCTTTTCTGGTTATTGAAGTTTTAGCAAATAAATTTATTTAAAAAAACTGGGTTATATATAATACAGTACAGAAATAGAGTATAGGTATACAGAGCTTTTTTAGTTACTGGAATGTTTGTTTAAAAACATTTTAGCAGGGAGAAAAAATCATCAACTTTTGCTAGTTTACAGAATAACAGAGCTGGAAGGGACCTTGGAGATCTAGTCCAAATCCCTGCTCAAACAGGAAACCCTATGCCATCTCAAGCAAATGGTTGTCCAATCTCTTCTTAAAAACCAGGTAGCTATGTAGCCTTTTCCATAAAAAGATGCTGTGTGCCATTTAAAGGACCAACAAAATTATTGTGGTATATGGAGATGTATATATACTCAAGATTGCATCAAACACTGCAAGCTATAGTGAGTTTCCTACCTGTCGGCAACATTTGATGTCCTTGGACACATGCACATGATCTCCAAGAGAGCTATTTTATATCAAGCAATAACAACATAGTCATTTTTTGCTAAATAATTTCAGTGGAATATCTTTTTTTATGCTTTCTTGGAAACAAAAATTAAATGCTTTCTATGGATAATAAAATACACAAAACACTGGTTTAAAATTAATAGGAAATCTCTTTGGCAAACATTGATCACTGCACCTATTTTCCCCCCCACATATTGGCTTATGTGATGGTGAGAGATTTATTTTTTAAAGTTGTATTCTAATGCTTCCAGCAAAGCCAGCTTGCAACAGCTGATGATGATTATTAGATTAATAAAAGCCTGCTTGAGTTTGCTGGTGGGGATCAGCCTGCTGTCCCATTAACCCAATGAATTATAAGGGAGTGTAAGTTCCTCATGGTGTGCACTTCAGACCATGACAACAGCAATCTTCCTCAACCCTTTACTTTCTAGAAGTATTGGCTGTTTACCAGAAAAAAGTAGGTCCATATGAAATATTATGATTATTACACATATCTTGTCATTAAGATCGTAAGGTTGCACACATTCTGAGAAAACCCTATTTTTAACTATTGTAATGCACAAAATCTGCCTCAAAATGCTCCTAAACTGAAGGATATTCCAACTATGTCTTTTGAAGGTCAAAAGAGAAATATCATGGGAAATTAATATTTCCAAAAAGTTCAAAAATTGGCACAATTAATGATGGCATAAGCAACTATAGGTCATATTGCATTTTGTGGAAGTGACCTAGCCTTGAAAATGGCTGTATCATGGCACAATGGTCTGTTTCAGTCTAGCATGTCATATAAATGGAGAATTCAATCGGAGGAATTCAAGAAGTTTACAAGCATGGAGTAGAACAGCATCCTCCAAAATTTCTGGCTCAGCAGACTGGCAAAGATGGCAGCGGGGGAGAGGGGATGTTTTTGCGCGTGCCCACCACTTCCATGGCCTGGTTCTGAATGGGCTGTAGCCCGGACAATGGACCGAGGGTTGGGGACCCCTGGAGTAGAAAGCAATAGCACTCTTCCACATATCACTAGCTGGCCTATGAAGCGTGCTGTCTGTGATTCATGCTGGAGCAAATAGCCATCTCTAAACAGCCTGATTCTTTCTATGTTTGTCTAGTCCAGAATTTCTGACTTAATCACATATGATGGCAGCAGATTTCACAGCTTAATAATGTATTGTGTAAAATTAAGGTGACCAACCGTCCTCCTTTAGGGAGGACAGTCCTCCTTTTGTAAGTTCTGTTCTCCCTCAAAAAGTGTCCTCCTTCATGTCTTCCTTTTCGATATTTGAAGACTAATCTGCAGGGCTTTTTTCCCCCCTCATAGAACGCTCAGAACGGCGTTCCGGCACCTTTTTTTCATTGTTTTTTTTTTCAACTTTTGCATGAGCTGTGCTACTCCCACTATTGGCTTTCGAAAGCCAATAGGAATTGCTGCTGAGCACGCCAAAACACCCGGCTGGCAAACTTTGCACATGCAAGTTATCTATATTATTGTTGCAATGAAAAAAATGTTTCTTTTATTTACGATATTTTTTTCTTCAATTTATTTGTGTCCTCCTTTTCATTGTAAAAAAGTTGGTCACCTTAGTAAAATGTTTTCCTCTACTGTTTCTGAATTGCTTGCATTGGTTTTTAATAGATGAGTCAGAGTTCTAATAGTATGAGGGCAGGGGGCAAGGCATATCCACGATCTACATTTTCTGTAATATGTATGATATACATCTACCATGTCTACTTTTCTTAGTTTTGTTTCAAGTTAAAAGCAACCATTCATCCAGCTTGAAGTGTTTCTTTAGGAACTCATTGCAATTCTTATGTTATTTACTACCCAGGGCACTATGGAATTATTAGCCAACACACTCAATTCATTGTTCACTCTTTATTATAGCTGATTTGCAAATATATATATTTAAAATCATCCTGAAAAGCCCAGGCTTGTATTAGTCATGTGGAACACCTCTTCAGTTTGAAATTGTTAATTTATCCCTGTCTTCTGCTTCCCTGTTTTAGGTGCTTGTCCTTTTATTCCAAGGCTGCTGTATTTGTTCAGAAGTCTTTGAAGAATGATTTTTATCTTTTTTATAAAGTCCAAATATACAGTCTTGATAAAAATTTTGTGCCCAAGTATATATGTTGATTTTTTAAAAAATGTAGATCACAAGGCAAGAAAAAGCTAAATTGGTCCCTTCTCTGCAAAGCTAATTTTAAAAGAAACTGTATTTTTTTAAGAAGATCACTAATTTTACTTTTTAATTAAGAATCCTCAGATGATTGTTACAATAGAATATTTTATCTCTAATTTGTCATTTTTTAATCTTTATTTGTTTTGGTACATCTTATTTTTCTCTTGCAATCATGGCATTGTTTCCAGTTCAATAACTTCTAAGTTATGGACAAGATCAATCTATATGTAATCATAAATCCAAAGGCTTTTCTGTGTCCTTGTAATGCAAAATAAATAAATAAATGTGAATCTTGGTCAGGGATTTAACATTTAAAGTGAAATTTGTTGCTTAAAATATAGCATAAGCTTCGGAGATATATTTAAAAAGCTTAGAGTGAGTAAGCTGGGTCGGGGATGGTGTGGCAGGCAGAAGGGATTACCTATGATAACTTAAATAGATAAATGTTGTAGACTGAACTGTGCTGAAGACATTATCTTCATGACCTGTAGATCAAGGGAACAAATTAATAGGGCATTAATGAGTGCCCTACTTCTGGAACTGCAGGCAGCAGACCTGAAATATCGGCTGTAAAGAGGAGCATAAAGGATTTGGCATAAGGGAAAAGGTAATTTTCAGTGGTTTCTGGTGGATCCAAAATAAAATAAACATTATGTATCACTATAGAGCCAAAAGTTACCAAAGTCATGATTTATCTCCTTATGCCTATTGAGAAAGCCAGCCTGTGAAAACTATCTATGACAGGGATGTCAAACCGCTGGCACATGGACCGGATGCGTCATGTGGAAGCCGCGCCCATCCCAGCTCCAGCAAGGGGAAGTTGCAATACATCGCGACACGTCACGGGACGTGGCGAGTTTGACATGCCTGATCTATGAGGATCCTTGCCTCAAATCAAACCACTTTCATTATAACAATGTTAGAATTCTCAGATCTGTACTTCTGATGGCTGGTTGCTGCCAAAATTGTGATCTGTGTTTTCACAGAGGTTTCAGGAGAATCTGATCCACATTTTATGCCACACTGATGTCAAAAGTTTCCAGCTGCCAGTTATCTGAAACTTGTTTAAATGTGTAAATTTTTGTGAGTCAAAGGATATATAAATCTCCAGGGTTGTGTCATAGTGATGTCATCAACTGTCGGATTGTGGTGACTTTGCAAACCCAGCTTTTGATTTGAAGATTTCATGTGAATGCCTCCTTCAGTTAACAGGATCTGTACTTGGACCCATTTTTGCATCATGGCAGAGCTAACAATGATTAGATCCAATAGTTAGAATAAAACTCATATGAACAGACATCATCTATTATTTGATTTTAAGAGCTGGGGTGGCACAGTGGTTAGAATGCAGTATTGCAGACTAATTCTGCTGACTGCCACTAGTTTGATTCTCACCAGCTTAAGGTTGACTCAGCCTTCCATCCTTCCAGGGTCAGTAAAATGAGGACCCAGATTGTTGGGGGCCATAGGCTGACTCTGTAAAGCGCTTAGAGAGGGCTATAAAGCACTGTTAAGCTGGTATATAAGTCTAAGTGCTACTGCTATTACTACAATTCCAGGGGAATTTCCTGTTAAAATGGTATGAAGTCAGTATGTTCCTCCTTGATCTTTGATGCCCCAACCTTACTCCCTTTAGGCATGTATGCATCTTGGCCAGGGAAGGGGAACCCAGATGCCATTTCTGGACAAGATATTTGCCAAGGGCCAAGAGAAATGACAGCAGGCTGCCTCAAATACAGCAGACAGATACACACAAATCCAAATGGGGCTTCCAGACACTTTAAACTACGGTACAACTTCCAGTATCTCGCCTTGTCTGGAACTGTGCTAGGTGTTGACTTGCAAACCATCTGGAAGGCACCAGGTGGCCTCGGGGTATCTCCCAAAACCAAATGATGCACAGGTGTGAGGGTCGATAAACAAGACCTGGGGGGAGGGAAATCGCCTTCCCTCTGCCGCCTCCATCTCTGTCACGTGGTTGTGAGGAGAGCCGCCTCCTGCCCCCTGCGCGGAGGCGCGTGCGGGGAGTCGGGAGCTGCTCCTTCGCGTCGCAGCCGCTCAGCTGCGGCCGGGGAGCTGAGCTCCCGCGTTTGGCCGCTCTTCCTCGCCCGCAATATGCCTCCGCTGCCTTCCGGCTGGTCGCCATGCCTGGGATTCGCGGGCGTCCGCCGGCCTCCTCGCTGCTGGGATTGGCCGCCGTGTCGCTTTTCCTCCTCTTTTTGCTGAAGAGCCGCCCGGGCTCCGCAGCCGCCACCGGCGCCTTCACCAGACGGCCTCAGCAGCGGCAGCAGCAGCGAGCCGGGTTGTCGACACCCTCTTCCTCCATGGCTGCTCCAGGTAGGTACCCTAGATTTGCGGTTGGCAAAGATTTCTTCCGGCGACCCAAATGCCGGGCTTTGAATGGCATCCTCGGCGTCCCATGGCACCTTTCGACGCCTGTGGGGGGGGGACCGCGAGGGATACTTCTCCTCCCTCCCGGTTTTCGGTCATCCAGAGACCAGCCATTCCCTTTCCTTTGGATCGGCTTCCGTCCGTCCTTTTCTCTTCATTTTATTCCTCGGCATGGAGCACTTCGCGCTTCCTTTTTTTCGCCCGCAGTAGGATTTGGCCGGCTTTCCTCTCTAGGATGGCAGATGGCTGCGGCGGATTTCTGTCTGGCGCTTGGAAGGCTGGATGCGTGGAGGAAAGAGCATCTACTCGTTCCTCGGGCCCGCTGCGCCGAAATGCTGTTGCCGCCTCCCTCCCCCGCAATTATGTAAATGGCCTCCTTGTTTTCTCACCGAGTCTGCGGCCACCTTGGCCCCGCTTCCTTTCCCCGTCGTTTTCTCCCTCGCTTTTGCAATCAGATCCGTCTCACTTGATTTGCCTTCAGGTGGACGGGTAAAAGCCAGGAGGAATGGATTTTTTTCCTCGGTTAACAAAACAGAAAAGCAATCAAGCCCGGGAAGGGCAACCTTCATCAAAAGTTTCCTCGATGTTTAATGAGGAGGAGTGAAAGGTTGGTTTTCCCTAGGGAAATGAGGTTGGCTTCCTCCAGTGGGAGGATTGTAATGGTGTGATAGCATAAACCTTCTCCTGTCCCAAATGCGCTCTGTCTGGAGAATGTGGTCTGCCTCTTATTTATCCACCACCTTACTTTTTATCTCTTATAGGTTAAACCCTCCCCTCCCTTTAGCTTGCTTCCATCCCCTCAAATTGTGCCCGAATTATCATATAACACAGTATTTCTCAACCTTGACAATTTTAAGGCATGTGGACTTCAACTCCCAGAATTCCACAGCCAGCAATACTGGCTGTGGAATTCTGGGAGTTGAAGTCCACATGCCTTAAAATTGTCAAGTTTGGGAAACACTGATATAACAGTATTTTCATTATTTTCTTCCTGGAACAATAACCTGCAAATTTCAGAAACTACTGTAGCTCAACTGTGTATCAACAAATCCGTCTGTTCCTGGCCTGTCAGTTTCACATTTGGAGGCTATAATAAATTCATTCGATTTTAGTAGCACATTGAATTTTTAAAAAAAAATCCCCAAGGATTTCCCCCAGGTAGTAGGTGAGGTGCCTTCCCTTTGATGCCTTAGCTTTTCCTTTAAGTCTAGCAGACTCCCCTTTTCTCAGGGGGATTAGGCTAGACCACATGTGTCACTTGTTATTTATGGATAGCGCTGCTGGGGAAAGGTCTTGACCACTGTGTGCTTAATGAAGCGGCTTCCTTGCCTCTTGGGAGGTGTGAATTAGTCCTCCAGTTGCTCTTCCTTCCCCACTATGGGGTTTAATTGCTCTGGAAGAGCAGCTGCAGCTCTACTTTAAAGCGAATATGAAAGCAGTTCCTTTGGCATATGGCGACTTGATTGTCTTTCACAATTACCCTGTAACCACAGAAAGGAAAATATTTTATTCTTACTTGTACAAGACATCTGTGATCTGTAGGCCCGGGACCATAATTTAAGCAGAAGAGAGTTTTGGATTCTTTGTGCATTTTGTCTGTGTAAGTGCACATGTGTATTCAGTATATATCTAGATGTCATTCACACTTCTACATTAGTGCAAATGCTAATGTACAAATGTGCTGTTGAGCAATTCCATTTTCTGCTTTCATTGGGTTCAAATAATGCCATGTATGAAACATCCAGCCAGGAGTGTAGATATCTAGTGATCTGTGACTGCATCTTTGGTGGTTTAATTTATGGTTTAATTTACAAAAGAAGTGTTGGCTTGTGACATTGCCTATAATTTTTAATGACAAAGAAAAGTGTTTTTTTACCACATTTTTCTTCCTGTACTTTGCTGGCTCCTTTTCTCTTAAATCTTCAAATGTTATATCATTTTGTGTTATCCTTTTAAGGATAAGTATTGGCTTTGCAGTATATTCTGTATTCCACTTAAAAGTGGTCTTTAGTTTGCTATGAGCTCATTTGTTTGGAGAGCACACTTCTGCCGCGCGTGCGTGTGTGTGTGTGTGTGTGTGTGTGTGTGTGTGTGTGTATGTATGTGTATATATATATATATATATATATATATATATATATATATATATATATATATTCAATAATGATGGTGAAAATGCGACTCCCGGGCATAATTATAAATAGAATGAATAAAGCGCGTTCACCAGGAGAGTTTAAAGTTAAAATACTTTAATTAAAGTATTTTACTATATTAAAAGGTTGCCAAGATGTTGGGGAGTTTTCCCAACGAAAGCTTGGCAACCTTTTAATATAGTAAAATACTTTAATTAAAATATTTTAACTTTAAACTCTCCTGGTGAACGCGCATTATATATATATATTCTCCTACATTAATAGTTATGTTATGAAACAGTTGGTACTCATAGTTGTATTATGAAGCCTTATTTTTAATGTTTGGATCAGGACTACTTGAAATTAGCAGCTTATCATTTATGTCTTAAGCCTCATCATGTTAATTCATTGTAGCTTGAATTTCTCTCCAGTGAGAGAGTCAAGAATACATTATTCTTTATGGAGAAGTGATTCTATAGTAGATTAAGTAGCATCCATGTGAAAGATATAGTGATATGACAAAACGAACCTGGGTTTTTTAATAAGATTAAGAGTGGGAGATAATTTTGATCCACATTTTTATGCAACCTGAGCTTATTTGCATTTATCTGATAATAGGTAGACCATAGCATATTTATGATTTAGGTTGTGTATTCCTCTGAATTTTCCAATACAGTTAGTGCTTCAATAGCTGAATAATAAGTGAGGAATAGCTTATTATTCAATAGTTAAATAATAAGTGAGGATTTAAAACATATTATGGAAAATGTCATGGAAATAACTGCAAATATTTTGTGAGGCTTTTTTAAAAATTCAGTGTGTTACTAAAACTGAATGAATTTATTATGGCCTGAATGTAAGCTGACAGACCAAGAACAGACTGATTTATTGATCCATAGCTGAGCTACATAGTTTCTGAAATTTGCACCTTACTGTTCCAGAGAGAAAATAATGAAAATTCTGCTACATGGGATTTCAGCCAACTAATTGCCATTTTAAATAATGGGAAATTTATTATTTTTCTTAAAATCAGATAAAACAGGAATCAAATCTAATTGTTTGCCATGTTTAAAACAATGACATCAAATATTTTACAGTGAGGAGTCATAAAACAGATATAAATACTTCAAAATTTGCTCAGTTTATAAAACATCTTGATTTTTATTTGGTTTGCATGAGACTCAGGATGAGGGACTATGGTGGAATAGGGGAATACTTGAAGATAATCTGAAACTAGTGCAACACAATTTTAGCTTGAATACATATATTTGGAAAGAGACAAGAAATCCAGAAGAATCCCAGTAGAGGTGAAATAAATGAATACATTTGTAAAAATTATGCATGCAATTGTTTATTGCAAGAATGTTTATAAATGTGTCATGTTTTATTCTGAAATGCTATTCAGAAAAGTAAAAGAAGGGAAGTAGTTTTTTATGGAAATAAAAATATCTGATCAAGAACCTTTTAAAATAGGATGTGAGGACACAGATTCTGATAAATAATTTTGGTATAATAATTATGTATTTAAATATATATCATAGAAGGTGTAGTATACAAGTCATGAATGCTTCAAGAAAGAACGGAAAACAAATATAAGAAAAATTGAGATCTCAAACAATAACCTGAAAAATGAATGAAGGCCTTGAAGTGTCATCATTGGAATCAAGAGAAGAAGTTCATTGGAGACTGAGAGAATTTTTGAACAATCTGGGGAAGACACTAAGAGAGGATCAATGTTCTAACAATGTATGGGATGGGAAGGGGAAGATGTGGATACAAAAACAGACAGGGTGCACAGAACCGGCACAAACATGTTTCAGGCAAAATATCTATGACAAGAGATCAAGTTATAGAATTCAACACTAAGTTAATTCTACCCAAAGAAGCTTCTATTAGAAGATATTTTATGAGGAAAGAATACAAAATTGTTTTGTTTGATCAGGGGTAAAATAAATACTTTTGTAAATGTTGAAAATCTTATATGACTTTTCTTCCTGAAAATAGTTAAAATGTCTTGAGTGATTTCTTAATTAAAAAGGATTGAATATAGGAAGAGAAGAAATGTGTATAAAAGCTGAAAGAGGAAGAGAGAAAATAAGGTTGCTTATGACCACTGTAAAGAAGACTGGAAGTTGTTCTTTCTTTTATAGGATCTTTTTCTTTCTTTCTTTTTCTTTTCTGCATTTTCTTTCATCTTTTTCCTTTTCCTTCTGTTTTATATTTTTTTCATTTTCTTTTATTCATCTAATTGTTTTTCAATAAAAAGTATAAGGAAAGAATGATTTACACAGGAATTCTGTATGTGAACAAATCTATTATCATACTAAATATCAGAATACATCTCTGTTTATATACAATAACAAGGAGGAAGAGAGAACTAGGCAGGGTGTGTAACTCTTGTTTGTACTTGTTTCCTTGCCTTAACCATGGTTTTACTAGAGGCACTCTATTTCTCCACCATATTCAGGCTCAAGAGATTAGTCTTGAGAATTGATCCTATAGAATAGGAGATTGCTTTACATTTTAAGAACAAAGAAAAATGTCATGGCCAAACTTCCTCAGTCTCAATCTGCAAAATTTAGAATAACGGAATAATAAATGAATAGTAATAACAAATAATAATAAAAATAATAAATTTCATGAATAATGGAAGGATTTGAACACAGGTGTCCTTGGTTAAAATTCAACATGTAGCTGGTCTCACTAGCTTTTATTGGATAGCAATTTATATAATACTCAACCCCAACTTGGGCATTCAAGTTGGTATGATGGTATATGTAGGGCCAACCATTTTAGATAGTTTGGGAAAGCTGA